TCTCTGGTTTTCTATATTTTTTATTTAATTTATTTAATTTTATTATTTACCCTTTAACCCTTTAACATTCGGATGCATATTATGTCCCACTAAAGTACAAGCGTTATATTCAGGTTAGATCACTTGTTTAACTACTTATCATATATATATACTCATTTACACTTCTTTATAACACTGTATTAAGTTTATTTATTGTATTTTCAATTAGATTTATAATTTTTAACATAATAAATAACTATACCATTAATTCAACTATATCTAAATAAAAAAAAATCAGTAATGCATCAAAATAAAATGACATGCATTGAAAAACTACTATGGAAGAAATGGAGAAAATGGAGAAAAGTAAAGATCTCCTACGCAAAAAATTATATATATTTAATTATAACCTTCACTTATAAGTCAATTATGAATTTGAAGACGAAAATAAAAATGTGATAAGAACTTTACTTTATTTAGCAAAGTAGCATCAATAAACTAACATAACACTGAAATAACAGTTTATAATATTAATTAGAATTTGTTGGTATTTTTTGTCTAATTTTTTTATTTGATTGATGTTCTTTTCTACAATTTTTTGGTAGAATTACTTTTCTTATTAAAAAATTTTTCTTTCTCAATCTTTCGCAAATGCTTGCAAAATGGGATTTGGCTAAGAAACCGTTAGTTGACTATTTCTGTTACACCAAAACTAAGCAATAAGAAGAAAACAAAATAAAAATGTACGGAGAATAGACATAGAGTTGCTGCTAATAAATAAGAAAAAGTGGCAACACATTCGTCATGAGCTCTGTTAAATGGCAAATAAATGTAACTGAATCTTTGTTTTTCTCTTAATATTTTTAGGAATTCCTATGCAACCAGCTTTAAATTCAAATTGAGATACAGATTATGTATTCTTGTCAAGATGGGATGTGGTGGTTTGTGTAATTGCCATCAATATGCTGTCAAGTCGTAAGGAAATATTTACGATGTTGTATGCAATCAATATTTCGATTTCATGGGTGTACCCAATGGGGTTCTTAAGTAATGATTTTCGGATTTAGGACCAATTCACCATTTATCCCACTGATATTAACATTTTGCCTTTATTTTCTTAACTATCCGAAACATACCGAAAATTCTTTTCCATTCTATTAGGCAAGCAAATGGATTCTCTGTAGGTTTTGATAAAATTCAAATTCACGTAAAATATATCATTTTTGGAAGGCCTAACAATCTAAATATTTGTTATCATCATCGAAGGTCTTTTGGGTCCTATTGGCTACCGCATTCGCGGTAGAGATTTTGTGGATTCAAGGCGGAATAGACATTGACATACTTTTGCAAATTTTTAGCTTACCGATAACTTCAGAAGTGAACCGACCGCGTCGGGTGTGTTGTACATAACAATCAATTTCAACACAGCGGCCTTATAGGGAGATTAAGCCTGTTCAACGTTCGCAAACACTAACTCATGTTAATGTTAGTTCCGTTGCAGTTCTATAAATTTCCAGGGACCGGTATTTGATATTAATTTATTGAAATCTTCATTCTATTAATTCTAATAACTTTATTTTAATTAACAGAGGATGTATGGCATTTAGATTTTATTTTAAGTATTTCCCATAAAGTCAGGAACTAAAAGACCTTTGCGCTTACTAAAATGGGTTAGGTGAAATTCTTTTGCGATTGGTTAAAGTTGTTTGTTTAAAGACAATTTTCACAGCCAATAGGGAATAAAACAAATAATATATATAATTGTTTGTCGTTGTTCTTGCTGGCAGTTAAATAAATTGTCTTTCTGCTCACTACTAAAATGTGGGTTTACTCATTTTGTTTTTTTTTCTATAATGTATGTTAGAACCAGAGGGAAGCTTCAGAGACTCTATAAAGTGTATGTATATTCTTGATCAGCGTGAAGTTCTGAGTTTATTTATCTGTGTCAAGTATGTTGTTGGCACTTTCATGGTCGCATAAATGAAATTATCGACATCAAATTTAGTAGAAATAGTGGAAGTTTCTTCACGCTGGTTGTTATTGAAGATAGGCAAAATCGGTCGGAACGGAAGCGCGCAGTGAAATGAAAACTGAACGCAACTCCGTTTTAAAAACAAAAAAAATTTGTGGATTTTCGCTCGTTACTCTGAAGTTATAAAAGCTAGAAAGCTGAAATTTTCCACATTTACTTTACGAAACAGTCTTTAGGTCCGAAAGGTCCTTTAGGTGCGAAAACGGAAGCAATCGCGTATGCCCACACTAACTTACAAGTGTTTAAATATTGTTTTTGTCACTTTTTTAAGGTTTTCTGCTTATTTATCATAAGGAAAACAACACCGAATATTTAAAACTATTTTGTAAACTCCTAAAATGAAGATATATTATCTGCCTAAAAATGGGTTAATTCTAAAATGACACCGGTGGTAGACACCGCTATTACCTTTTTCTTAATAATACTAGCTATATGGGTATCAAACAAAAGGACTTGGAGAGTAGAATGCGAAAAGATAGTAGTGGGTATGCGAGACTCGACCCGCGCTGAATACAACTTTCTTACTTGTTTGACTAATATTGATGGGCGATAGCAAATCTTATGTGAAGATAAATTCACCCGGCGTGTGTTTTATACCATACAGACTTTAAATAATATTTTCATAAAACTTACACCATCGTAGCCGATCACACATATGGACGAATTCTTCGTACGATTTCTTTTATTTTCTACAACAAACGTCGAGTTGAACTTTCAAACCGTAATTTTGGAAAAAATGGAAAAAAAGAGATATAACGTGGGTCTTATGCGATTTTCATTTGGATAATTTAGTGTATTTTTCTAAACTTGGAAAAATTTATATCAAGTGCACATTAACTTTTGCACACTTTTTACGATAATTGAATTCACGCCAGGACGGGAATGAATAGCGATATAGTTTAGCATAGGAGGATTGTACGAAAGGTTTCCTAGCTATGATGCTTTTTTCTCCGAACTGATTGCATATGGTGTCGACAGTACTCTCGCTTCATTCATATCGAGTTTCTTGGGCAACCGTTCGATAAGAGGAAATGCAGGGCTACCACAGGGCCTTGTTTTTTCCCCTTCATTTTTCCCGGTTTTCATTAACGAGCTTCTGTGCGTAATGGAAAATCCTATCTATTCATTCGCAGACTTTGTTCATTCGTTTTCCTTTAGTAGAACGCCAAGCTCCAACGAATTGCTGAGGACAGGCTGCGTGATAAATATTCCCCGCATTGATGCCACAAAAAGAAAAGCTATCTCCTAAGGCGCGGGATGTTGTTCTTCCCGTAAGAATACAAAAGGATGTTCGTTAGACAGAACATGTGTTCGAACTGTCGAAAGATGCAACCAAGGGCTTAACTTTTTTGAAGCGGTTCAAAATATATTTCACTGTAGCCGATATCCGTACCATTTACACCATCTATATCCAGCCAAAATAACAGCGTAATCTGCAGGTGTGGGCGGGATCCCCCCGACCGCATACAAGAACTGGATTGGCGTTTGGCCAACGAAAGTGTGTCCAGAACTCTCGATAACCTTGAGCGGCGGCGAAACGTGAGCTGTGTTGCGCCTATGCACAGACACATTCACAACAAGTGTTCAGAGATAAAAAAGATATGTCCACCGATTAAATCCTTTTACACGTCTTTCTCAGCAATTTTCACCCACTCACCACACTACTGCGATTCGTCGTTTTTCAACCACGCTGCGCGTCTTTGGAACAACCTACCAGCAGTGTTCTTTCCTGCCGTGCCTAATCTCTCCCTTTTCAAGTCCAACGTTCATAAATACTATTCACTGAGTGGCTGGTCGTACAAAAAAATAAATAAATAAATAAAAAGCTAAGTAAGGGAAAAACATTTTTTTGTAAAATTCGAATTTTATTCATTTCTTTGAACAAAGATTCAGTCAGCCCAACTATTCTCTAACATTTCAATATTAATTTTATAGAACAATTTGCAAAGACCCTTGAAACACTTTTCAGTTTCCACAAAGACCCCACAATTCGGTTCAAGACTTTTCTCCTGGAGCATTATTTCTTAGAGTTGTGGGCAGATAATTGCTGGTGGTGGTTAGATCTGCAGAATAAGTTGAACTTCCCTTCATGCAATTTTCTCATTGATTCGGTATTTTATTTCCGCTGTGAGTAAACGCAGCAACCAACATTTCGTCAGGTTTATCAAGCCCATATCTGGATCCAATATGCAGCGAACACGTTCTTTGGATATATTCATGGCTTTGTTTATTTCTTCAATCTAAATTTAGTGATCGTCCGGCATCACTCGGCGGGCTTGAATCATTGCTCGTTATAGTGTTTAGGCATCTCGAACGTTCATTGTCACCCAAGCTCATGCGTCCGAATTTTAATTTAGTAAAAGTTAAATTCATGTACAGCTCGCATTTGGTTCGTGTTGGTGTACTGCTTTTTGAAGGCGAATACTGGCAGCCCATGACTATTGCTTTTTTGCAAAACCAAGCAAATCGGAGGCTAGCGTATCAGTCTACTCGTTTCTTAAAACTTTGACAAAGACCTCAAAGTTAAGTTTCGAAAACAAAGTTTGATCGTAAATTTTTTTTATATTCCCTTTCAGATTTAGCTAGCAAGTGGTGGATAAGGATCTAAGACAAAGCCTAAGATGAATGTAATAAAAAGGTAAGCGGTCCATGTATTTTAACAAATCAAATCCGCAAAGCGTGTATGTCTGACTTCTTCGAAATAGGCAATTAAATAACCTATACGTACAGTCGCCCGATGGCCTGACTTTTATCTTTAATCTTCGTATGAGCTGGGGCGTAGTAGGCTATAACATCTGTCAGGGCTTCGCTACAACTCAATAGGAATTTTTTTATATAAATAATTCTTTTTTGAAATAATGAAACTATTATGCTATTGTTAAATACTACCATCACTAGCGCACGGTTAAGGCAAATATTTGTCTTCAAATAAACTCGATTATACAATTAGCTGCATATTCACTATAAAAGGTATTAGAAATGGATAGTGTGATCAAAAGTGTTTTTAAAGAGCCTGCAATATGGCATTGAAATTGGTTTACGGTGTTCTTTCTTTGGCTTTATTAGGCATCAGCTTAGGTGAGATGCGATAAAAATAAAATTAAAACAATTTCTTAATAAAAAAAAAAAAAAAATGCTTATTTTCAGTTAACGCTGATTGTTCTTTAAAAATACCAGACGATGTTGAAAATGAAAAAACCCCAGTCATCACGGTAAGGAAATCTCAGAAGACTCTTGAATACGATTTATTTCAACCCACTGGAGAAGTAACAAATTTTCCTGAGCGTACTGAGATTCTTTTGGCTTGTACTGGTACTCAAAACTACTTCGAGAATGGAGATGAGTCTGTTACTCTACTTTGTCAAAATAATGAATTCAACGATGGACAAGGCAACGGTCCCGAATTTTTTACTTGCTTGAAAACTCCTACAGCCGAGTTAAGGAAAACGAAAAAACGTTGCTCATTAAATGACTTAAATGTTTACGATGTCGTCTATCGTATATCGGAAGAGGAAGTTGTTGGTCCTGTTTATGACATTTGCTATAATGCGAATTCGCAAAAACCTGCCTATAGCCGCAATGTAATAAATGGGACTGCCGTTAACTGTAAGTATGCTTTAGTACATCAAGCAGTCACTTTTTTAATTAGTGAACTACTGATCTCATAAATGTTATAGATCGTGTTCCGGAAAGGGAAACAGATCCCACTGTGTCACTTGCTAAAGATTTTACTACAAGCGATGTTAATAATTATTTTAAATTACAAAACCAAAAACAACGATTCCAAGGCTATACAATAGACGGTAAGCCACTTGTGGATGATAAAAACTTCTTTACACCTGGCCAATTAGCGCCTGATACGTCAATGATCACTCCCGCTGACAAGTTATCCACTTACGATTATGCGAACATTGTGCCACAATATAAAACAGTTTATGACGGTAACGTCTGGCGCGTAGAGAACATTACTCGTGATCTTGCTGTTGATCGTCAAGCTAACTTTGTAATTTATACCGGCGGCTACGAAAGGCTAACTGGGCTTCATGACGGCAAACAAGAGGACATTTACCTTACCACCAAGAAATATGTACATGAAATACCGAAATACATCTACAAATTTGTAGTGGACAAGGAGAATGATGCTGGAATTGTATTTTTTACTCTTAACAATCCTCATGTCAAAAATGTAGAGGGAACTGAATTTTGCAAGAATCAATGCGAAGAGGCCAACGTTCTTGTTCCAAATTTCAAAGATTGGACCCAAGGATATACTTTCTGTTGTACTTGGAACGATGTTAAGGACCATGTAAGAGCCTTACCTCAGGATATTACAATTAATAATTTGTTAAAATTTAATTAAAAGCAAAAAAGAGAAAGAAAATTTAAAAATGATACATAAATATATACATATTTGCTATACACATACTTATATTGGCTATATATATATATATATATATATATGTATATATTGTAGTGAAACATAAAATTTGTTTGTTCATCTGCGCAGTTATTTTTGTGCCGTGTTACAGATCATGTCGTTATTGTGCTTATCTTGTTGGTAGGGCTACGCAATTATTTTTCCTGTGCTAGAACTTGCTGCCCGCGTTGAAGCTCTTGTGCGGTCTCTTGAGGATCCGTGATAACAACATCACCGCCAAAGGACAGAGGTTGGATTTGTACATGTGAAGGGTCATGAAGGGTGATCGGGTGGGAGAAGGAGTTGGGGAGTTGACCTTGTCCCCGGAGGAGATTATTTTGCTGTTTTATTTTATTATTTTTTTGCCGTTTCAAAAAATTATTCCTATACGCTAAGTCCAGGTCTCTAGATTTTCTCCCTTTTTCGCCTTCGCTGTGTTGAGAATTACAAAACTGGGACCACAAAAATCACTGTAAAGTAATCCCCAGGGTATCATGACATGTATCGTTTAAAGGTTGATACCATCCAGACATGAGTTTTTTAATAATGTTGCAATATGTGTGTCAGATCGGAGACTTATTGAGTGATGTGCTACTTGCATCACGATAATGATTTTCTCTAGGCCAATGTTAACAAGCGTTGTATTTGGAAGGCTCCCAATACGTAAAAACAAGTAAAAACATTATAGTGGGGCAAGGCCGATACCCGATCACTTCGTCTATACAGTTATTGATTTCCATGTTAAGTTACTATTGTGAGTGGTTTTCACCATGAAATAATAGAAATTGTATCATTTTGTTATGTAAAGTTTCAGTTTTCATAGGAACGGTTACTTGAGAGAGGGTATAAAAAATTGTCTTCGCTGAATCAAATTTTTATACGAATTTAAAATAACCTTAATACTATTACAGAGTGAGTTTTGTCGGGAAATTTTGAAAATTGTAATTTTTTTCCATATAACGAGTTTTCAAAATAGGGCGTTAAATAGGGAGTAGTTGAAAAAGCAGACCGATCCGTACCATTTTCAATGGCGTTCGTCTCTGCGCCAAAGCACGTCAGTGTACCAAATATGATCAAAATATTTAGGAAATTTACAATCTACCTCTTGAACCCGAATTAACAGATAGGTCGGCTTAGATCGATTAAAAAATGTATCTGAATCGATTCGTATAATAAAAAGTTCGTCTATCTTAAGGCCTTCTCCGCGTTACATTCGCCCGTATAAACTTAAAGAAAGAAGAATTTGAAAACAACAAATTATAAGTGACTGTAAATTATGTACGTGTCTCTATGCTTCGTATTAGCATTATAAATAAAGTCACTGATTAATACATAGTAATACATGCAAAACGAAATGAGTAGGACGCGTTGACTGAAACAAGGAGCCCACTCAGTTAAAGACGACTGTGACTTGATCCTTCCGGATGCGGTTAAAAGTGAATTTTCTCCGATTATTTTTGTGAAGAAGGACTTTCATCTATTTAAATTAACTGGGCGAACAACGATACACAGTGAAGGGGAAAAGATTTTGCTAAGTTATCCCGGACGTCCAAATTACTTGCAAACAATAAAAAAAAAGTCCATTACCGCTTTGTGTGAAGAAAGTGATTTCAGAAATGTTGGAGATAATACACTCGATGAATTGTTTTGCGAAGCGGCTCCCTCTGTCGAGTTGATAACTACCAACATATCTTGCTCATTAAGAAATTCCACTCTGTACATAGTCGGTTATCGAATATCGAGGCTCGCCCGCCCTCTATACTATACATGTTACAACGAGTATTTGCAGAAGAGTCATAACTTCATAAACCGTACTACAGATAGAAAACCGTACTGCTATAGAAACATATACGCTTACGCTTAGATGGACGCAATTTTTATACGCTTATGAGACATTGACTTGCAATTCTCATTTGAGTGCGACCAATGTGTGGCGAAGTGGATGGATGGACGGATGACATGTAAAAAATGTACACTTATATTGCTTTTTTCGATATTCTGACGAATCGACGAATATCCGAGTAGTTGTTGCCAGTAGAATTTCACCGGACTTTAGAACATTACACCCTTTAGCAGAGCATCGTCGGTTTGCCATAGCGATTCGTTCTTAAAACCGAGCTGAATGGTGCACATGTTTTTTCGTTTCTGGGATTGTTAAAACAAGCTCACTTTTCATCCCCAGTTGCATTGCAGCGCAAAACCAACTTCCCCTTGTAACGTTTGAACAAAAAAAAAATGTTGCTTTCTTTAGGCCACGAATCGACCTATTCAAGGATTTGGCGCAAACTATGCTGCTTTACGAAACTTGTATTGCTTGTGGAATGAAAACGTTTATCAGATGCTGAAAAGAGATGAGGATGACAATGATGCGATTTGACAGTATTCACACTGATAGCGAGGGTTATCTATGGGCAAATTCCGGTTTTATATTTATATCGTTGATAGATGACCGGATCGACCGCGATTTAATTACTGTTTCTATTGCAAAGTATAAATAAGTGATTGAAGGTATACACACACACACACACACACACACACACACACAGGAAGATTCATATTTTTAAAATATGTTTATATGCATGAATTTAAGGATAATAAAAATGCATCTTATTGCCGCATACACGGTCACTCACAGACGCACAAACACACTCATCCACATACGCGTACGCACCCACACATTCTTTTGCTTTGCAGAACCTGTTCACTACCGCTTACCATGGAATATAAAAATGTTATTAACTCAACTTTGTCTGCCGCATTCTATTTTACTGAATCGCGTCTGATGTGATTTCGCCGTTTGTTATCTACCTATTGTTGTTGTTAATGTTAAATCCAGACGAATGCCGAACATTTTTTTCATTGTGTCAAAACTTACAACATCAAGGGCAAGTTCGTCTCTGCTCGTTATACATCCACACACACACACATATATACATACATGCAGAGTGTACTTTCCCGTGGAATATTTTCGCATAGAGTTGTTGTCAACTGTAACTTTTACACATATTTTGCATATACATTTGTGTCTGTGTATTTATTATTTATTGCATTGTACATATGTGTATATGTGTGCGATAATATCATTAACTCAAACAAGAAAGTTATACACGCTTTAGGGTGAGTCTTAGGTAATTGAATGCAAAAATGAATTACAATTTTTTTTTTTAGTTTTTACGATTTTTCCTTGTTTTTTTTTTTTTTGCTTTGCTTTTTGTTGTCTTTTTTTTTGTCCAGTGCAAGAAGACTACCTTGAAGAAGTGGCGATACATAATAACCGCGAAAAAGACTAACGGAAGGAGCTAATGTTGATTCGTCAAACTCCTGTAAAGGAATTTCTCTTTCTAAGGATATCTTTGAAGTAAAAATTTTATAAAGTGGAAGTCTGTACCGCTAGACTTGGCCTCCATGTCTGAACTTCACAAATAACTACATGTGTGAAAGTGTAAAAGCGTAGAACTGTGGCATGTTTTGCAAGGGAATATGAGGCATTGGGCCGGCAATTCTTCATTCGAAAAACATTTTGAGGATTTTGCTATTAGTTGCTTAGAGAGATAGAGAGAGAGACGGAAAAGGTAAAAATATTTTCTTTGCAATCATAAACCTAACTGACGTGACGGCTCTGGAAGATTAGCTGAAAATATTGTTACTTCCTTCCAACGTATTAATAATAGCTCGACCGGGAATGTTTCGGTTTAATAAATGATGTCCGAGACTTTCATTTGAAAACTCACCTGAAGCGATCGTTGTTTCTACATAAAGACACTTAAATTAGCCTTTGAAGTCTTATAACACGTTGCAACTTTCTTAACAACGGTACCGGCGTCTAACCTGTTTAATCTCGTGGTTTTTGCCATGCAAAGTGTGCTGGTATTATCGGCCGTGCTGCTGATGCAGTCTTTGATCCCTCAAAAGGCTTACGATGGTCATGTCCTGACTGTAGAAAGCGGGACATAGATTTCTACAAACTCTTCACGGAAACGAGAAATTGTTTCTCAGATTTGAGCAAACATCTCGGCTCCTTGTGGGAGAAATTTGAAATAAGACTAGGTTTGATGAGTGTCGTTTCCCCAGCTAGCTACAACTCGCAGCTTAGCGTTTCTTCAGGTTCATTATCTCTCATTTATCAAACTGTCAGAGGCCTAAATTCAAAAATTCGTTCTACTCCCCTAAATTCTGTGCGCACGCAGTTTTCCTGTTTGGCAATCACAGAAACTTGGTTAAAGCCTGATTCGTTTCAGGTTTCCAGAAATGATCGATTGCATTGCAGTGGTGATGGTGTTTTAATTGCCTTATCTGCGGCAGTCCCCTCCTATTCAATTGAATTTCCCACTACTCCCGACATTGAATTTATCGCTTACATAAACACTTATATGTGACCTGCTCCTATATTCCCCCAAAACTCGGATATCTTCATATATAAGAAACAGGCCGCCCTCATTTGCGAAGTGGCCAAGCAATCTAAACCTACCGATATAGTAATTGCGTTGGGTGAATTCAATTTGCCTCAAGTCAATTGGTGTTACAGTGAGAGTTCTGGCTGTTTGATTCCTACCTGAACATCGGATGGAGCTCTTGTGTTCTTTAATGAATTATTCGATCATAATGTTGTTCAATAGACTGCTTAATCTTTGCTTTGCCAGTTTTGGGTATTTCCTTTCATTACAAGCATGATTGTTAGTTGAACTTCATAACGGTCCAAATTCAACTTGTTTAAATAAATTTTACGATTTCACATCTTTCTCATATTATGCTTGATTTCTCAGTTTGGAGTATTGATAGCTTGCTGTCGTCGCCCTACAATATATTAAATCAAGCTATTTCTGCATGCCTTCCGATCAAGCAGTCTCGTCCTCAAAGCAGATGTCTCCCGTAGTTTAATAAGACAACTAAATATTACAAGAAGAGGAAAAACAAGCTTTCCAAAAAATTTTCGAAAAGTGGTTCTTCTTTCGACTATTTCGCTTACTCAGTAGCAAGGCATAGATTTAATTGCCTCAATCGCCAATATTATTGCAGATACCTTCAGTTTGTTAAATCATCTCATAAAAAATCTCCATAAATCCCTCGCATGTTTCTTTTAATGACTCTAAGTCCTGGGATGATATTGAAACGTCAAATCTCTTTGCGAAATATTTCCGACAAAACTTTTCGACTGCTAGTTTCGATTTATCAGTAAACTATCCATTACCGATTACTAATTTGGTCTCAATTTCTATTTTGGTTATTTCTGGAAGTAACGTTTTTGAAGGGTTGAGCCTTCTAAAATATATTTGTGCGCCTGGATCTGATGGCATTCCATCATGTGTACTTATATCTTGTGCTGGCGAGCTATGTGGTGTTATCTCAAAGATTTTTAACCTGTCCTGAATTTAGGTGTTTTCCCTTTGTGTTGGAAGACCTGTTTCCTTATTCCTATTCACAAAAGTGGAAGTAGACAACTTGTAAAGAGCTACAGAGGCACTGCCAAGTTGAGTGTCTTGCCTAAACTATTCGAGCGAATTGTGACTCAGCATATGGCCTTTTCCATCAAATCGTATATTTCTTTTCTCCACCATGATGTCATATACACTGATTTTAGCAAAGCGTTTGATTTAGTTAACCTTAAACAACTCATCTTTAAACTACAAGCTTCTGGCTTCCCTTTCTATTTATTGAAATGGTTAAGCTCTTATCTGCACATTAGATCATTCAGGGTTGTGTTTAACTTCATTATCCCGGATGAATTTCCCGTGACGTCTAGCGTACCTCAAGGAAGCCACTTGGGACCCATTTTATTTAATTTATACATCAACGATTTACCCTCGGTGATTGAATCCAACGAGATCTTAATATGTGCTGATGATGTGAAACTGTTTTCTTCCTTTTCCGTAGAATCGCAATCGCCCCAGCTTCAAAGTGATTTGAATAATTTGGAATCTTGTGAAACTAAATCTAAATAAATGTAAGAAGCTTTCTTTCTCAAGAAAGAAGTCATTTAATGCTCAGTATTTCATTGATTCGCACAAGTTGCAGGATGTCGATTCTTTCACAGATTTGGGCGTTCCATTTGACCATAGGTTACGTTTTAACTTGCATATTGAGCTCTCGTTAAGCAAAGCTAGGTCCGCGCTTAGTTTTATAAAGAGGTGGTCCAAAGAGCTCGATGGTCCTTATATTACGAAAAGGCTGTACATTTGTTTGGTTGGACATATACTTGAGTATGCCTTTGTAGCGTGATCTCCTCCATATAGGTGCTATGTAGATTCAATTGAATCTGTTCAACAGCAATTCTTACTGTTTGCCCTTAGGAATTTGGGTTGGGAACCGATTGACGCCCTTTAACCTTATGAAAATAGGTTGCTTCTATTATCCTTACCGTCAATTGAGAAACGTAAATTTTGTTCTTGGAGTTTCCTTCTTAATCAAAGTAATAAATGGTACTATTGACTCGCCCGTATTACTTGCTGAGATAAGCTTTAATTTTCCTAACCGCTTCTCTAGGCTCAGAGTTGTTTGCAGAAACTTAAATGATGTCTATCATTTATTCTCATTATCGGACTCTTTAAAATCTATGAAAGCAACTTTGTTTAACATGCGCGATTTACCTATGTCATATTTAAACGAACATTTCATTCTTAACATCTCATTTTTTATTTAAAATAATATTGTGTTGTTAACCTGTTGATTGCCAAGCTTCTGCATATTTGCAATGGTTTAGGGGTTCACTTGCAACCTGGATCTGTTCTTGTTGCGGGTGTGCTTCTGCGCTAGCTGCGTACATGCTTTTTTTTCTCTCTCTTGTTATTTATTTATATATGAATTATTATTTTTAACTTTTTAATTTATTCTTCAACCTACTTTGTTCTTGTTTTCTTCCTTTTTATTATACACTAGTTTTCAAACAATTAGTATAAGATTTTCTATTAAGATGCACTGAATTCGACTGTAATTTTCCTTAGTTGAATTGCATGTATAAATGGGTAAAATAAAATAAAAATAAAAAAATATGCGTATCAAATAAAAGTACTTGGAGAGTAGAAGGCGACAAGCTAAGCTCTTTAATTCTAAATTAATTATGGTGGACAGCACGACGTGGTAGATTAGCGTTTCCTGAAGTAAAAGGTGAAAGATAAATTTTGTCCCTTCCTTTTATGACAATAAATAAGAGCATGGGGCGCCAAAGATTTCAATGGTCGTGAGAATGTAAGATTAGGCCACAGGCGAATATTCCTTTCTTATATTAATAGATAATACAATTAAGTAATGCTTTCGTTTTTAATTTTTTTATTCCTCAAAAATTTTAAATTTGATTAGTTTTTGTGACTTTCAATATTTTAAAAGTCCTTCGACCTGCATATCTCTAGGCAGAGTTCGTACACGATTGTTGAAATCCTCATATCTGCAACAGATTGTATAACCCTTTTCAACATCTTTGAAATCTGGCTCATTAATGTTAGCTTCGTCACATATATCTTTACATAAATTTTCGGAAGCGGCGTTCTTATGATAAGGATCATTGAGAGTAACAAATACTATACCATCTTTACTTTTGGTATCTACTACCAGTTTATATATGTATTTCGGTACCCCATGAGTAGGATACTCGGCATTATCCAAACCAATAGGTTTCCACTCTTCCAATTCGTATGAGTAAAATCCGCCTGTATATTCCTCAAATGTAGCTTGACGTTGGTCAGCCAGTTCTTGGGTCATGTTCTCATACCTCCAGATATTACCATCATATATGCCTTTAAACAATGGGGCAATATTGGCATAGTCGTACGTCGACAGTTTATCAGCGCCGGTAATTATGGAAGTATCTGGTGTGAGCTGGCCTTCAGTAAAGTAATGCTCATCATCCACCAAAGGTTTACCATCTACTTTAAGATCTTTGAACCTTTCCTTTTGCTCTTTATACAATTTGTCAAGGTCTTTTCCAGCTTGGGGATCTCTTGAAGAATAATGCTCATAAGGTTTCTCGGGAAGTTTATCTATAGACGTAAAGATATGTGCGATAAATTCAGCTAGACGTTATGTGTTTAAGAATTGCTTACATTTCCATGTGCGACCATAAATGAAGTTGTGCGTGTACCCGCGATTTTGAGCCTCGCCGTCGTAACAAATGTCGTAAACAGAACCATAGAATTTTCCATTGACCTTATAGCCAGCTGCGTAAAGATCATAATCGTTACCCATACAGCGTTTGCCGGTTTTTTCCACCACAGCCTCCGCCATACTTTTACATGACATGTCCTTGAGTTTCTCTTCTGCAGCACTCTCAAACTGGTTACCATTGCAAGACAATGTTGTTGTCTCTTGCCCATTAGATTTCAAAGCGTTACCTTCTCCGGTGCAAGCCAAGAGAAGTTCAGTACCTTCCGGCAAAGTTGTCGTTTTTTCCTCAGGGCGGAATAGCTTCATATTGTTACCGGTTTTTACTAGAACAACCGGAGCTTCCTCAGTGCTAAGATCATCAGGTATGTTAATGGAACATTGACCGACAACTGAATAAAAAAAGAAATCTTGTATCTATTCTTGGATACACGGTTCATTGAAATTACCAAGGTAGCTTCGGGTGAAAGCCAGAATTAAAAGACCGTACAAAAGCGACATTTTGCTAGTATTGAACAACACTGAATGATCATTCAATGTGCTTGCAGAGATCTTTTATAGTAAAAAGTTTACTAAAGCAACATTCTTCAGCAATTGTTTAAAATTGTTTGTTTAAAGACATTCAATAAAGTTCTTGAAGTCAAGAGGGAACCAAATAAATAATTATGTAATTGTTTACCGTAAGCAAGTGCAATTGTTTGCTGTTAATAACAGGGAATATTTATATAGATATAAGTAAATATATTTTTATTACATTTGTAGAAGAAGAGAAGAAATTATATATGATAAAAAGATAGTGGATGACAGTGTCGTTATCAATGAAATTTTTCGCTTAATTCGAAATTAGATTAAAATATTAAATGAATACTCTTTCCAGTCCATTCGAAAACAAGCTTGATTTGCCTAGGTACACTTCAACACTTTTCAAAAGAAACGAAACAGAAAGGATGAACCCTTAAAAAGAAAAGAAAACGTTGCTGTTACATATAGATATATAGATCCGGTTTTTTATATATATGTACCGTTGATTATATACATATATGTATGATTACATATCTATTTCTATATATATACATATATACATATATGTATGGTTATATACATATATGGTATATTTATATATACGGATATACATGGTTTCCACGGAAAGGTGCGAAAGCTCTAAAAATGAACCCAGTCAACCATATGCAAACTTTGTTATCAACTGAAAATGTTGCGATTTCGCAAGATATTTGTTAAAAGTGATGAATTTCGTCCAACAACAGCGTAAGTTCTCCTTCTAAATGTAGGAGCTTTCACCATGAATTTCCACTGAAATATTTCCCTTTTTATTTTTTTGCCAATGAAAGCGTCGACACTTTCTTTGCCGAGCATTAACAAGGCATACAGAAAAGAATGAAGAATTGATTAGTACCACCTGCTAAAATCCATTTCGAGATATCTCTATATATATTAAAGCACAAAAGAACGTCAAAACTATGCCTAGAACAAACTTTGTTTCAATTCTAGTCTAACTAAATTCGAAAACAGGGCAAATCGGCTTTTTGATTCACTCGTATGTAACAAAAAAACGTGTTTCCGACTTTTTCTAAAATTATAACCGCAAAATTTATTGATTTTATATTTATTTATAATTATATTTATTATTATTATTATTATAAGTAATTTAACCAGTTTTATTGAGAACTACATCGCCTTTGAGGTTTGTACTCACGACCATTGACTTGTATGTCGAAATGTGTTGCCTAGTGGACCACTCAGATAGATATCTTATATTTACATTTTGATATGCATATGTATATATATATATATGTCCCTTTCTGTCCATTGTCCAAGGAAGGACTACACTAAATGCCTCATTTCGTCTTTAAAGCCAAAAATGCGCCTAAGATTTAGCTCATGGTCGCATAAATTCCTCCAGAAAGTTAAGGCCAAACATACGCAGTCTTAGCTAACAAGCGCAGTTCCATTTTGAAGATCATATTGACAATGTTGAAGATATTATTACAATCTATAGCAGAAATTATAAGTTGCAGTCCGAATATATTTCTTAAGGTTAGTTAATAGATCAGTGAAAAGGTCATGTCGATCAACTAACTAAAATGTCCGCAATTACTAAAACATATGCTATGAACGACTTCTGGATAAGGCGAATATCACTTTCTTATGTTAATAGATAAAATAATTAATTAATGCTTTCATTCTTAATTTTTTTATTTTTGAAGATTTTTAAATCCTTCACTAGTTCTTATAACTTTCAATATTTTAAAAGGCCTTTAACCTGTAGATCGTTGGGTAGAGTTCGTACACTATTTCTGAAATCCTCATACCTGCAACAGATTGTGAAACCCTTTTCGACATCTTTGAAATTTGGCTCATTAATGTTAGCTTTGCCGCATACATTTTTACATAAGTTTTCGGAAGAGGGCTTCTTATGATAAGGGTCATTGAGAGTAACAAATACTATGCCATTTTTACTTTTAGTATCCACTACCAGTTTATATACGAATTTCGGTACTCGATGAGTAGGTTGCTTAGCATTATCCAAACCAATAGGTTTCCACTTCTCCACTTCGTATGTGTAAAATAAGCCTGTATATTCCTCAAATGTAGCTTGACGTTTGTCAGCCAGTTCTTGGGTCATGTTCTCATACCTCCAGATATTACCATCATATATGCCATTAAACAATGGAACAATATTGGCATAGTCGTACGTCGACAGTTTATCAGCGCCGGTAATTATGGAAGTATCTGGTGTGAGCTGGCCTTCAGTAAAGTAATGCTCATCATCCACCAAAGGTTTACCATTTACTTTAAGATCTTTGAACCTTTCATTTTGCTCTTTATACAATTTGTCAAGTGCTTTTCCAGCTTGGGGATCTCTTGAAGAATAATGCTTATAAGGTTTCTCGGGAAGTTTATCTATAGACGTAAAGATATGTGCGATAAATTCAGCTAGACGTTATGTGTTTAAGAATTGCTTACGTTTCCATGTGCGACCATAGATGAAGTTGTGCGTGTATCCGCTTTGAGCCTTGCCGTTGTAACAAATGTCGTAAACAGAACCATAGAATTTTCCATTGACCTTATAGCCAGCTGCGTAAAGATCATAATCGTTACCCATACAGCGTTTGTCGGTTTTTTCCACCACAGCCTTCGCCATACTTTTACATGACATGTCCTTGAGTTTCTCCTTTGCAGCACTCTCAAACTGGTTACCATTGCAAGACAATGTTGTTGTCTCTTGCCCATTAGATTTCAAACCGTTACCTTCTCCGGTGCAAGCCAAGAGAAGTTCAGTACCTTTCGGCAAAGTTGTCGTTTTTTCCTCAGGGCGGAATAGTTTCATATTGTTACCGGTTTTTACTAGAACAACCGGAGCTTCCTCAGTGCTAAGATCATCAGGTATGTTAATGGAACATTGACCGACAACTGAATAAAAAGAGAAACCAATATAAAACAAAACGAAATCCTGTATCTATTCTTGGATACACGGTTCATTGAAATTACCAAGGCAGCTTCGGGTAAAAGCCAGAATTAAAAGACCGTACAAAAGCGACATTTTGTTAGTATTGAACAACACTGAATGGTCATTCAATGTGCTTGCAGAGATCTTTTATAGTGAAAAGTATACTAAAGCAACATTCTTCAGCAATTGTTTAAAATTGTTTGTTTAAAGACATTCAATAAAGTTCTTGAAGTCAAGAGGGGACCAAATAAATAATTATGTAATTGTTTACCGTAAGCAATTGTAATTATTTGCTGTTAATAACACAGAATATGTAGATATAAATAAATATATTTTTATCACATTTGTACAAGAAGAAAAGAAATTATATAGGATAAAAAGATAGTGGATAACAGTGTCGTTATCAATGAAATTTTTCACTTAACTCGAAATTAGATTAAAATATTAAATGAATACTCTTTCCAGTCCATTCGAGAACAAGCTTGATTTGCGTAGGCACACTTGAATCCTTAAAAAAGAAGGAAAATGTCGGCTGCGCTGTACCTGGTGACTGCCAGCGCTGCAGTCAGGTGCAGCGAAGTCCCTAGGTGCAACGCAATCGCCAAAGGCCGCGTTGTTCTCTTGGCTTCCACCTATAGACCGCGGTTTTTAAAATATTGCGATGATATTCGATATACTGATGTGTTTTCGCCCAAGGAGAAACACTATTGAAAATGGTACGGATCGGACTTCTTCTTTGATCGCTTCCCATATAACGAATTATATCATATCATCAGTCGTATGTACAACTGTACGGTTGTGTACAGTATTATACGGTGGACTACGACCTGTTATTGTTTTCTATTTCAATTCTTTTATCAATAATCCACACAGATATAAAATCTGATTTAGATTCTTTTTTTCTTGGTCTAATTTTCAAGACTTACAACTTCTTGCCTACCATAACTTGAATTACAGTCCAACCCGTTTTTGTGCGGTGTTTTTTTATGCGCTTTTTCTTGTGCGATTCTTTTTGTGTGATTCTTTTTTTTTTGTGCGATTCTTTTTGTGCGATTCTTTTTTTTGTGCGGTATATGAATATCGACACATTGAATTTCGCCGAGAGGTTAGGTCAATCTGAACTGTGTTGGTATCACTTTATTTACTATCAGTGTGTGTGTACACATTGCAACAGCCATTTTCATACCTATTGCATCAGCCAATTTCATTAGGCATGCTCAACACTATGTGAAAATAACTTTCAGAGACATTTTGGAAAAACTAGAAAACGATGGAATAAGCCTGACTGAAGTATGGAAAAAGTTGCATAAACCACGCCACTGCAGCAATTACTCAAATAAAACAACACACTTTAAATTCGTGCTGGAAAGCGGTCTGGCCTGAATGTGTCATTAATAGAAATGTAACCGACAACACGTCCACTTTATCATTAGATATCATTGCGCTAACACATCAAATCTGCGGAGAAGGTTTTGACTCTTTCAGCGAAAATGATCTTATTGAAATGATTGAGGACGAAACCGTAAATGATAGTGACATTATCAATAACTTAACAGATCATGAAGACGGACAAGAAGAACCGGAATCTATTACAGCGGATAATATATATGGAGGGATAAAGCTTTGCAGCAAATTGGAAAAGCATTTTCTTAAAATAGATAACAATTCTCAAAAAAGTTTGAAATTCCAAAAAGAGCTTCGATTGTGTATATCTGGCTATCGCGACGTTTACAAACAGCTGACCAAACGACCGTCGTCGCAAAAACTTATCACCTACTACATGTTAACAAAAAATAAATCAACTATAGTATCTTCAAGTGACGAAAGCGATTACAAACCAGTTCATCGCAAAAATATGCGCGTTTTGAACTACGACGAGTAGTATTGAATTACGTACATTTTGAAAATTTCTCCTTGTTTAAAATTAGAAATTAAAATTTTTTTTAATGTTTCAATGTGTAATTTAATTATTTATTTTGTTTGGAAAGCAATTTCTTGCTATTTCGTGAAGCTTTGACATATTTTCTAAGTGAGACTTTTTTATGCGGTCCCTCTCTACCGCATAAAAAAAATTTTCTTTAATATGCTGTGAACAATTATTTCTTAGAGCTATTTATGAAGTTTTTGAATATTTTTTTTTGTGCGATTCTTTTTCTGCGGTTCCTATCTACCGCACAAAAACAGGTTGGACTGTATAGACATAGTAAAACGATTAACGGCATTTACTAATGGAACTATGTGATGGCCCTAACAATTGCCTTCACCAATTCATTTATTAAGCAAAAGTTTTTCATAGCCCTATATATCTCAATGTATTTTCATTATTTATTGTTAACTTATTCTGAGCGACCTTCTACTTTTTTTTACACCTCCGTTTATGATTTTCATAAACTAAGAAGCTTGTGTTAGTGCAAAATTGATATTGCAGGGTCTTATTATTGCCACTTTTGTTTCAGAGCAAGTTACTTGATACCAAGCGACTCAAATCTGGGCAAGCAAAACATAACAACTAATTTTACGACCGCTGATCCAAAAAAACATTAAAATAATTAATTAATCCAGTGTTAAGTAGTGTAATTAATACTACTATGGAAATTAGATGTAAGAAATGAGTGCTCCTTCATAATAAATTTCACTATTGGTTGTTTGATATCTTTTTTTTATACCCTGCGGCGTAGTCGCTAGGTGCAGCGTAGCCGCTACGTGCTGCGCAGTCGCTAGGTGAAGCTCTGCAGTTACGTGCGCCGTAGCCGCTAGGTGAAACACAGTCGCTGGCAGTCGCAGCGCAGCGGTTGAGTGCAGCGCAGTGGCTTCAACCACGCAGAAATCCGATAAGAAAGGAAAACACATGGGTCGTAATAAATCGATCGGTCATAATAAATCAAGTTTACCGATTACGTGTCTTTGCCAGGAGTTTGTCATTACAACACCGGTCGTAATAAATCACAATAGACCATATTTATCGATTACGTGAAGATTCGTCATTGCTATGGCAAGTTTGTTCCTATTTGGCTGCGTGCCGGTAAAATCACATACCCTAAAAACGTGATCTATCTCCTCACACAGGAGTCAATTATTCATTGAATACATGGCTCGTAAACCATCTAAGTGTGCATGAGTTTTTCCTATGACATCATGATTACGCCCATTTTCCGTTCAATGATCCCGTTAGTATGGAAAACTACTCGTTGTAAAATTAATTTTGCTACTTTGGAGTAGCTCCACTTTATATATATCAGTGTACATATTAGATTGAAGAAAAGGGAACCTATTATTTTTTCGGTAGAAGGCGGTAGTGATCGATATCTTGTAAAGTATCGATCAAACAATTCCAGATTTAGACCCAGATTTGCACTAAGATAATTCTTTTGCTCTTTTTTGTTTGGTCCATTCAGTTGTGAGCTACAGGCTGTTAAAAATGGAAGTCAATGAAGAGAAAATTCGGTACATTTTACAGTTTTTCTCTGGAAAATGTGAAAATGCAAGCCAGGCGGCTGAAATTGCAATGGTGTTTATGGTCCCGATACTGTAATAGCCAATTACATAAAATTTTGTTTTCGCCGATTCCATACAGATTTTTCTCATATTAAAGGTGCACCTCGCACAGGTGGGCCCGTTGTCGAAAATGTGGACCAAATCACAGAAACGATCCTACTTGAAAGACGTGTTAACAGTCATAGCATCGGGCAGGAGGTAAAGATCGACTATAAAACAATTTTATATCTTTCGCATAAAACTGGATTCAAAAAAAAGCTTGATGTTCGCGTGCCACATTAAATAACACAAAATTCATGGGGGAGCGCACTTCCATCTGAGAAGCCGTGGCGAAACGGATTGTGACTAGGGATGAAGAATGGGTCACATACGATAACATTGTGCGAAAACGGCATAGCAAACCAAAACTAACGGCCAACAAGATATTGCCGGAAAGAACCATTTGAAATCATATGGCCAAACACTAAACTCGAATATCTCGGACCGGAACTGGACCGGCGACTGGAAGCTACCGATTGAGCAGAAAAGGCCAGAAGAGGCGAGTGTTATGTTCCATCAGAACAACGCCGAGCCATACATGTCTACATTGACTTGCCAAAAACTTCGGGAGCTTGGTTGGGGTTTTGATGCATTCATCAAATACTCCAAACCTGGCACCAAGCGATTCCCATAGCTTTCTTGTATTTCAAAACTTTCTTAGTAATAAGAAATTGGCGCTCAAAGAAGAAGATTGTGAAATTACTAGAGTTTTTCGCCAAGTAGGGACCAAGACTTTTAAAAAAACTAGTAAAAAACAATGGGAACTTCGGAAATATACGACGTCCCTAACAATCACATCTGCCCAATATTGAGTGATCATTTTAGGTTCGATATCATCATGCAGGGCTTCAAATTAGTGCCTTTACCATAAGAAATACCTTTAAAGATGTAGAGAGTCGTTCCCTTTTGATCTACTTACATAAGGCTTACAAGTTTTTATTGGGTTTTTTTCAAGTTATCAGTAATTTCATCAATCGCAATTTTTTTCCATATAATGAATGACCAAGATAAGGCGCCATATGAACAGTAGTTGAAAAAGATCGATGCGAGCCATTTTCAATGTTGTTCATCCCAGCGTCAAAGCACGTCATTGTATCAAATTTCATTAAAATATCTTCAAATTAGCAACATAGGCAAGCTTAGATCAGTATCATAAAAGGTGGGGCTATCTTAAGCCCTTTTGGGTGGTACGTACGCCTTCGTAAACTTAATATACCCTATACCAGAAGGGAAGTAGGGCATAAATAAATTCTAGATTCGATAAACACGTTGACTCGAACACTTTCGCTTAAGCCTTATTGCATTCGGAACATGAAAGATATTTACTTCGCCATCGACATTTTTTTTCGACCGGCGTTCCGCTTTCTAGTTACAGAAGCAAATGAAGCTGTTGGAGCTAAATGCGGTGATTTGTACAAGTTTTAAAGCATAGATACGTATTTTCTTCGTAAGTAAATTGCATTTTTTGACTTTAGTGAAGAATGCTGCGACATAACCTCGAAACAAGCAAACGATGATAAAAAGAAAGCACTTATATTTGCAAGCAAACATTTGTAATTCGGAGGACCCTTAAAATTAGAGGAAAAAACAAGTAAGAACATCATTGTCGGGCAAGGCTGACCATCATATATTCTACCCATTGTCGAACACAATTCTTATTTTTGTATGAAATTACTATTATGCGTCAATTTTCATCAACACATATTAACACCTAGACTTTTCTGTTCTACAGAGGATCAGTTTTTGTGAGAATCTTTATTAGAATAGGATTCCAAAATTCGGCCAACCATCTGAGAATAAGCGTCCACACATTTGTTTACGTATATGTTCTCAATATAATCCGCCTGAGTGGCCGAGTAGGCAAGAGTCTCGACTAGCAAGTCAATGGTCGTGGGTTCGAATCTCTAAGTGCGGTAGAGTTTTTAATAAAAGCCGATAGCCTTAGATGCTAGTGCTTTTAAGAGTTTAGTCTTAGAATTTATTTCTCTGGCGAAATTAATAATAATAATAATAATAATAATAATATGTTCTCAATAATCTGTAAAAATGCCAACCATCTGAGAATAAGCATATATGTTTGTTTACATTTTTCAATAATTTTGCATGTATTTGTATAATCTAATGGCGCTTTAGAGAATATAAGTGTATTATCTAACCGCGCTTTAGAGAAAATAGCGTATATGTTTTCAAAAGAGATATCGTGTACCACAAGCGGTGTTAGATATAAAAATATTTCAACTTACTCAACAAAAAAACAATGGAAATCAGTTTTCAATTTGAAACAATTTATTTTGAGCAAAATTACATTTTATGAAATTTTTGTAATGCGTAAGAAATTCAGGTTGCTTTAGACAATTTACCGAAGATATATCCAAAATAAGAGATGAACGAGTCTAAAATATATAACGCTCTGGACCGAACAGCTTACCGGCCTCACTGTAGATGCCCGTGGAATCATTTATAGTTTTCTTAATTCGAACTTTTCATGAACATGTCTAAACGATCGGCTTCGTGTCTCGGGCAGGCAGAATAGTACGAAGAAAAAGCATATCAACATTAAAGCGGAAATTGCCCAAAATATTGCCGGAACTCCAATTAAATTTATAATATTTTTATATTGATTGGTTACCACAAAACTCGCCAGCCAATTGATGGTGCAGCATAGAGCGACTGTGAAACCTTTAACATCTTGTGAAAAGACTTCAGCCATTGTCAGCCAAGGTATTGGTCCCAAACCAAATGAAAACGCTCCGACATATGAGCAAAAGCAAAAGACCGGCATCCATGAAACATGACTGGCTGATTCGGCATCCCGTTCCAATATGAAGAAGTACAAACCAATGCCAAGAGCGATTATACTCATCAAGAATGACGATATTAATAGGGGAATTCGGCGACCAACAAGATCCATAAGATAAATTGCAATAAAAGTAGCAATAGACTGCACAATCCCCACCAATAGCATTGAATTTTTCGTAGACATTCCACCCTTAGATTTGTCAAATATGTCCATAGTGTAAAACATAACTGCGCTGATGCCACTAAACTGCTGAAATAGCATTAACAAAATTGTATAAAATAAAGCTAGACTTGTAGGAGGCTGTCGAATTGATTTACAGAAAGATGGATTTTCCTTCGATTGTTGAATAAATATTACAATTTCTACAAAATCATGTTTAAGGTCATAGCCTTCACCGCGCAGACTTTGCAAAGACATGTGTGCTTTTTCTATCTTATCTTTCATCATTAAGTAAACGGGCGATTCAGGCAAAACGATAAAAAATATTGATGAAACGCAGGGAACAATTGCACATGCGATAATTGTATAGAATACCGATAGATAAAATCCCGTAAGGAATGAGAATAAAATTCCGAGTACAACTGCCATTTGAAAGAAAGCTCCCAAGTAACCACGCAGAACAGTTTGCGCTATTTCCGTAGTATAGATGGGTATGATTATGGAAAATGCGCCTGAACCTACGCCCAAGATGAACCGTCCTGCATAGATTGTGGAAACATTTTCTGCAATGGCTAGACATATCCATCCAATTAACACGAACGGTAAGCATAGCAACATAGTCAATTTACGACCAATTATGTCAATAGTAAAACCGACAGGTAAACAAATTGCAGCGGCACCAAGCGTAAATATGGAAGCTAACCAAAGCATTTCATCAGCAGATACAACAAATTCATAGTCACCATCCATAAGTTTGTGCTGAATTGGACTCGTCCATCCAATAACAGTCCCAAGAATAAAACCACCTGTAGCCGCAAGAACACCAAAACCACATTGCACCACAAAGTGAAAACCCAACATTATAATTAAGAATTGCGCACAATATAAGTAAAAGAGAAAAAAAGAAAACTAAATGAGAAAATTGTAAAAATAGGAAAACAACTGATGTTTAAATTGTAGTTTTCTTCAATTTTTTGGACTCAAAGTAAACAAACAAGTTTATGAAACGCATAAATATATTTTTGAAAACAATTGAAGAAAGAAATCCAACTTTTATTTATCCATTGCTCACCTCATCACTTTGAGATGAATCACAATTTTTGTTTTCTTTCAATTTCCTCCAAAGCTTTTATCATTTTTTCATCTTGTTTTTCGCGATGCTCTCGTATGGCCTGTTTTAAGGCATCATGATGGCCCAGACTATCAGGCGGATATAACTCGCGCTTCTTTTTCGTGACCCATTCTTCGAAGTATCCAGGCTGATTAAATATATGGAACATGGCTACAGGAAAGGTCATATACATGCCCATTTTGAATACTTCCAATGTCCAATTACCCATTTCTGAACCAATCTGGTTTTGGTTTGTTGAGTAAAAATGGACTAAACCAATAGATATGTCCAGCCAATAATATTTGTTCAAAACTGTTCTGTCATAAATTAAGACGCATAAGAATTGAAGAAAAAACACTACCGAAACCCACAAACAGCTGATTTTTCATTAGAATAAACATAAAAACAAACCTTCTACTGTCAATGCAATGCACACAGGGTGGCGAGTTCACTCTACACAAATGGTGGAAAGAAATAGAGTGGTTTGCGTACAAGTAGATTAGCAGTGAAAGCCTCTGGCAGTAGCAGGTTTGAGTAAAGTATTCTAAAGATCCTACTATATATTATTGAAAATACAAAATAAGTCTCCGTATTTCCTTATAGAATTTCTTATTTATAGAATTTTTCGCTGAAGTTTGTTAAAGCACTTGCGAAACAAAAAAAGTAGAATTCTTCTGTACAAAATAAACTGAAGGCGCTGACACAATGGTGCGTTATTCCTATTTTCGGGTTAGGAGTTTCACTTTGCTGGCTATTCACAGAACTTTATGGAAATTAACAAATCACATGGTTTTGCATGTACGCACATAATAAATATCTTACACTTTTTTTCATATTAAGTGATTTGCGATTTTGAATTAACCTACGCATTATTTGTAAGAATAGAAAATAAACAAGAAATATACTCAACAAATTGTCTTATTAGAGAGTATTAAACAATAATTTCAAATCTTCAGAGAGTACAAAGTATATGTATTTTTGATCGGTGTGAAATTTCAACTTGATTTAGCCATGTGTGTCCGTCTGTGCGGTATGTGTTGTTGAAATATGAAACATGTGTTTTCACAACCATACCCTTATTTTGGCTATCGAAGACGATAGCGAGAATAATTTTAAATCAATTTCATTTTGACAATTAGTGCAGTTAGTAGTCGTAACGCAGTCATTGTGTTATGAGTTTAGCTTTAAGTATGAGATTTTTGTTTTGTTATCTCTTTCTCTCAATTTTGTTTTGTTTATTCTAGGTCTTTTTGGAATTGTAAAAGTTGTAGCTCTATTTCTTTCTCTCTCTCTTTCAGACACAATTAAAACAAACCAAAAAATTTTCCTCTTAGAGCAAAATTAGTTAATTTTGAATTTAAGAAATGCTGAGAATAATTGATCCCAAGCACTGCTAATTAGGCAGCTTAGATACGCGCGTACGGCAAACGTAAACTGACATAACTGACGTGGTCTAACGCTTTTAGCTACTTTTAAAGATTTTGCTTTTTAAAGATTTTAGTCACTGTATTCGAAAAATACTAAAAATTCGATTTTGTTGCAATACGAAGTCTTACTTTTCAATGGGAACTCTGATATAAAGTGGGATCTAAAATGGAGTCTTATGTAATCCAAAGTACCATTATGACCCAATTTTCATCATAAACCTTTAAAATCTTTCTTTTTACCATATAAGGGCGCATTTTTCGTGACGACCCTTACATATAGTAGTTGCCAAATATTAAACAATCCAAATTTGACACAGTTCATTTCTATGTCAGATTAATGTGAAGGACCTCGGATCATAATGAAATACAATATAAATTAACAGTGACTTGTCTTTCGTAGGAATTCTTATAGGAGGGGGGGTTAAAAACACTGCCGCCCTATTCAAATTTTCACATCAATTTAAAATGCTATCATTTAGCGCATTTTGTCGAGAAAAAAGTGGATATTGCAATTTTTTTCATATAAAGAGATTTTCAAAATAAATCATTATATGGGGAGAGATCGCAATCCTTTTTAATAGAATTGGGGGGAAAAATGCCCTATAAATTGTGAATTGTATATTAAGCACACCAGACGGACAGACAAATTGCAATCTATTCAGAAAATGATTCTCAATGCATAAAACTTGACTGAATTTTAAATCTTTCTGAGTGTTACTCATATCCGCACAAGCTTTATACAAGAAATATTATAACTGATGTAGGGTGCAAAAAGAAATGTAATCTAAAGAACCAATTTAACATTGCTGTGTTTAATGTACAAACCACTTTACCTTAATCTATGTATACTGTATAAAGTAATTTCCTTCTCCACCACTCGACAAAGTGTTTTATACTCTCCTTCAAAGCTCTGTTCTGTGTATGCGCTAAAAGGAATTTTAGCATACTGCAGATAAGGAAATTTATTATTGTAGATGCTTTTGTTTATACAAGTGTATACAAAAAAGTTATCTCCCTTCAACCTCTCGCCATAGGTTAGACACATCATATACACAAATTGGTCCAACATAAATCTCATTTGGAGAAAATGTAACAAGCACTCAGATGTATGATTGAAGAGAGCTTACGCTCTATACATTAAATCACGCAACCCTTACTTGCATTTTAACTATATATAATTGGAAAGGAAAACAGATTAGTATTTATCCACTTTCCGTACTGTACAGGTCAATACGGCGGTAGTAGTCATTTCGTGCCATTTCACGAATTCTCCAAAAAGAATACATATTAAAAGCAAATTTTTATATAGTGTTAAGATGCATGTTGCCTTAGGATTAAATACCTTCAGGGCTGTAACCAGAGCTTCCGGATATGTGAAATATTTGACGACCTTGCCTGAACCGCAAGAGCCGACTATTAGCACGGCCAGCATACCAGGACCGAAGTCCTTGGAATTAAAAAAAAAATTGAACACCATGCAACTGGCTGACATGGTAAACTTCTTCGTCGACTATGAATCTTCAACGGGAAATTATTTATGCGATGTGGATGGCAACGTCATGCTAGATGTGTATATGCAAATATCCTCGATACCATTAGGTTATAATCATCCCAGGCTGTTAAATGTTTTTAATAACGATAAGAATGTGAAAGCTTTAATTAATCGTCCTGCATTGGGTTTCTTTCCTGGTAAAGACTGGCCTGTAAGGCTGGAGAATATTCTTAAGCAAATAGCGCCCAAGGGCTTAAATAATATAACTACTATGATGTGCGGTTCATGTGCAAATGAGAACGCTTACAAAAATATATTTATTGCTTATGTGAGAAAGAAGCGAGGCGAGGAGGGTAATTTCACTGAGGAAGAAATGAATTCGTGTATGATGAATATGCCACCAGGTGCACCTAATCTAAGTTTACTTTCATTTCAAGGATCTTTTCATGGTCGCACAATGGGCGCTTTGGCAACAACGCATTCAAAGTATATACATAAAATCGATTTTCCTTCGTTAGATTGGCCCGTTGCTGCCTTTCCCAATTACAAATATCCCTTGGAAGAAAATGAACGTGGCAATAAAGAGGAGGACGAAAAGTGTTTAACTCAAGTCGAAGAACTTATTGAGGCATATAGTAAGAAAGATAGGCCTGTTGCTGGCATTATTGTAGAACCTATACAAAGCGAAGGCGGTGATAATCATGCATCTCCAGAATTTTTCCAACAGTTGCAATACATAACTAAGAAGTATGATATTTCCTTGCTAATAGACGAAGTTCAGACTGGCGGTGGTTGTACCGGTAAATTTTGGTGCTACGAACACTTTAATTTACCTTCGCCACCCGAAATAGTTACGTTTAGCAAGAAACTGCAATTAGGCGGATACTTTCACACTTCGGAGTATCGTCCTCGCGAAACTTTACGCATCTTTAACACTTGGATGGGTGATCCGGCAAAAATTCTTTTGCTTGAAGAAATCATTAATGTCATAAAAGAGGATCAACTACTCGAACAAGTTCAAAAATCGGGTAAGGTTCTAAAAACCGGTCTATTACAATTGGAAAAAGAATATCCGCATCTAGTAAATTCGACCCGGGGTCGCGGCACTTTCTTAGCCATCGATTTCGAGACACCGGAGTTACGTGATACTGTAATTGCTCAGCTAAGAAAATGGGGTGTTCATGCGGGCGGTTGTGGTAAACAAAGTCTTCGTTTCCGGCCGGCTCTAACTTTTAAGGAGAAACATGCCAACATCGTACTTGATCGTCTCCGCAAAGTTTTATATGAAACTTAAATTAATATAAAATATCTTTACCTTTACAAAAGAAAATAAGTAACTATTACAGAGGCACACGACATTTAGTAGTAATGCATGCACAATAGCTCAAACACACAAATATACCTACACATATGTTAAAGATATCCGCATAAGTGTATAGACGATTTCGTATCTGGAAAGCTTGCATTGTTAGTGAGACAATAAATATATATATATATATATATGTATATATATATTAATATAAAAATAACCTACATTTGACTAAATTCAATTCAATATACTTTCCATTTCTTCTTCCAACATTTCTTTGTTATTCTCCCCAGTTCTTTCTCTCTTTTTTTTTTTTTTTTTGTTTACATAAACTATACGTATTTCAGTTATTATTTAATTCAGTTTTATGGCACTTGTTGTTTAGTTCAATTTATGCAAATAAATTGAGTCGTTGATTGCATATCATTGAATGCATATGCGAAGATCTCAGCGCATATGGAAGTGAAAGCATTTTCATCGTTAGAATACTGTTATTATGAATAATAATAATAAAAGCTGCTGTCTTCATAAATCAAAAAGAGAAACGTTTTTTCAATCCGCACGCTTTGGGCAACTAATGCTATAACAACAAATTTATTAAATAGAAAGCTGCTCGCAACCTTCTGGTAGGGGATTAGAGTCGGTATACTAGAATCAGTTGAGCTTTTGTCGGGATTACATTTTTATGTTCAGTCCTTTTGCTCAATCAAGTTGCTTGTTAGTCTCTTTCTTATCTATGCAACACGATCCGGGTCTCTTTACAGCTAAGCCGAGCAAAGCGGTTATTGTAGTAGTTTCCAAATTGGACTGGTTCTACCCAAAATTGTTCGAAAAGCTGAGAAAGAGACCGAGTCAAATTTATCTAATGCTGTTGTGGTCTATACGCAACCTTATTACAATTCGCAAAGCAACTCGGATTTTTTTTACAACAAAACAAGTAGGAATGTTATAGTCGGGCAGCTTCGACTTTTACAAATCCTCCACCACTCCAGCTAGTGCGATTATTCGCATAAAAAGGGTTAATTTTTAATATTTTATGATGAAAATTAATTCATAGTAGCGTTTCAGATCAGATAGGTCTATTTTTTTGAACCTAGCATTTATAGGGCTTGTCATGCAAGCCGCTGCATGCGGGTTTTCATGAAAATAATGTGTATTTTTGGTGTATTATTATCAAACCGAGGGAATAGCTATAGTAGGCAAACTGGTCTAGTTGTTGGTCTAACAGTTGTCATCGCCCGTCTATAATGTTCTTACTTGTTTTTTATTTAATTACTATCATGAACAAATTTTAATCATAAAAAAATTGACAATTAGGCTTTTTCCTTAAATGCGATGGTATACCAAAAAAAAAAAAAAACCCACGTGGCCCAAATTCTGGAAAGTAGATTTCTATTATGAGCTAATTTTCACGATATTAGAAATTCGGCCTTTCTCCTATATAAAGCTTCCTCTTCCGTAGAAACTGTTATATGAGTAACACTATTATTTAGCCACTTTTGCCGAGAACCATTGTCAATAGCTTTCGTCATTAAGCCAAAATACATCTGTGTATCAAATTTCATCAGAATATCTCAAAAATTGCGACCTGAAGTAAAAATACATGGGCAGACATCACATGGACAGATGGACAAACAGGCTTAGATCGACTTAGAAAACGATTCTGAATCGATCTGTATAATAAAAAGTAGGTCGATGTGATTTCTTTTTCTGAGTGCTACATATGCCCACATTAACTTAATACAGCCTGTACCACAAGTAGCGTAAGGTATAATGAGAACAATGAGAAGCATACGCATGTATTGTTACAATTTATAAGATTAATACTTCAAATTATTTTTGTAGAAGCGTACAACGCAATATCTTACAGATCTTTGATTCTTTTATTATGTTACCAAATAGATAAATAAGAGAAATTTTGCAAATTTTGAGCATACATTTTTAAGGCCATTTTAATTACTTTCGTACTGATACTTTAGAACGAATTTGTGTTAACATTTGCTACTTAGTAAAAGTTACTATTTTTTCAGGTATTGTAACCGTATCAAGTTCATTGTCGCACCTGGCGTCTATGCTTTTAGTTTCTGGGCATGAAGTTTGTTTTGCGTTTTGCGAAGATTTAATTTCGTTTACAATAAAAAAAAATACTATATATATGCGTATATATATATGCATCTACAAATACATTTCGAAAAGACAACTATTAGCAAAATATTTTGCAATTATTTTATATGTCTTTGTGACTATGGATAATTAAGATTCGTTGCTAACCGAATATAACTTTCTTACTTGTTTTGCAATTTTTGTACTCTGCTTTACGCTCTGAACTACCGTTGTTACTTTTAATCTTGTTCTCAGCTCATCAAACTCTGTTGTTTGTCTAATTTCACCCCACTCTCTTACATTCAATTTTTTTTAGCACGTTCAATGCTAATCGGAATAATTTAATCACTGGAAAAGTGTGCCAGCACTTTTGTTTGTCTTGTCGACAGTTAGCGCTCCTATATTGCCGCTAACCTAATTAAGGCAATTTTTATACGCATTGTTAAAGAGAGCAACGCCTCAGAAGAGATCGTAAAACTCAGAGTTGAAAACTGTATTCCTCTCTCTGTCATACGCTTTTCGAGTAACTAAAGAATAAGAGTTTACATTTATAGCCTTGGTTGATAGTCATGAGAATGAAGGGTTGTGCGCACAGAGAGCCTTCCTTGAGAATTTGTAATTAAGAAGCTATTGAAAGTCTAAAGTTTGACATGAGCATTTACTGGGAGCAACGATAACTTTGGTAGAAAAATCTATTTGATTGACATTAACTCACGACATTTATGGTTTGTCATTCTTATTTGTTGCATCTTGATTTAAGATGATAAGGCCTTAGACAATATTTCCACCTATATTGGTTAGCCTATTTATCCAGGACTTTTACTGAACTTACCGAGTCCATAAATCCGTACAAATTTTCATCGACATTGTCTGCGTAATTATGTGAAGACGTCTTCACTCACCGCAAAGTCTTTTGTATGCTAAGTGTTAAGAATGAATTTTCCGAACTTTCCGAACTTTCCGAATTGATCGAAATTTATCGAAAATATTTCATATATCGGTACAAATATTCAAATCAACAGTGTCTGCGTAATTATTTGAAGACGTCTTCACTCACCGCAAAGTTTTTTATATGTTAAGCCATAAGAATGATAAACATTTTGAATTTCAACCATTGATGGGAAACTACAGCAAATTTAACTTTATCGGAAAGCACAAAGAATTGCACAATAAACATTGAGTTGTTTTATTAAATGTTTTAATAAAATTAAATATGCTTTAAAGTAAACGGTACGAAAAACAACGTCTGCAGTTCATTTCCCTACTTTTTTCTTTCTTCCGTATTCTTTGATCAAGCAACAGTTCAATGAGCTAACAATACATCATATCGTTTACATTTTGCTAATACACCTTGACAAAATCCATATGCTCTCATCTACGTTGCACTCGGGCTGTTCATCCCGAAGATATTCAATAACATATCGAGACATTTGACTACAAAGTAATGAGTTCGCCTACATCATTGGACAATTGATCTTTACTTCTATGAATATTCCATATTATTGATCGCACACTACAAAACCATCGATCTGAACGATACTACAACAAAGTAAGTATTGGCTAAAGGTTTCGTTCACCAAGCTTGACATAATTCGATAGTTTACTGTTTTTTTATTTTTATCTTTTGAGCTTGGTTGGCGAGCAAAAGGCAGCATTGCCACGGTAACCCGGAGATCGCTTCCGCGATCTGGTAGCCTTTGCAAAAGGCATATTGAAGCCCTTTGTCGAGACATACATATCTTTTGAATCAGTCTTCTAAAGCGTCTTAAACAAAACGAAAACGAACGAAAAAAGCATTTTCTAAAGGGAGTTCCTTTCCTTTTTTTCGCAAACATGAAATGTGGAAAAATACTATTATTAACAATTGTGGAAACAATCCGTAACGCGACTACAAGATCCGTTATACCCGCCCGTGTCGTTAGCGCTTCAGTTTTAAGATTCATATAAACCCGGGCACTTTCTGTGATTCAGAGATTCGTGTGCTGCGCTGGCGGATTTTATAAATCTTTGTTCTTGCCGTCCTTCTGCGGACTGTGTTCAATGACGAACCGATTTTTTCGGTGACCATTGCGATACCAGCTTATTAATATGACTTATCGATACACCAAAGAAAAGTTGAGGGCATGATTCCTCGGAGCCCCCTGTTAACAATGTTTGAAAGCACTCCAACGCGAGCCTAGATATCATCGTTTGCCCTTTCAGGACCTTTAAGGCGACTTGACTGTCGGAGTGAATCATCAGTTCTCTTCTCCATTGCCTTCTCAAGTATTCAGAGGCACATACAAAGATTGCATAGACTTGTGCTTGAAACATGGTGGGAGTGTATCCCAGTGATGAAGCCCTTTGAAAACTCGCGCCGCATATACCAGCCCTAGTTTTGTCATTCTATTCCATTTCTAGCTTTGAACTGTCGGTGTACCACTTCTTCGCTCACACCTTATGTTCAAAACAAAGGTCGTCCCAACGCAATCTCGCCGATGAAGTCATTCTGAGTAAGTATTAGCTTTGCGACCAGTATCTTCACAAAGGACTCGTCCATGAAGCTCTTCCATACCTCAAGGCGCCCCCTGAGATTTCCCGATTTTAGCTTAGCTAGCAGCCTGATTGCGCTCCAGCCAGCCTCTTTTTCTATGACTATGGGAAGAGTTATGAGAACGATTTTAAAGTAATCCTGAATGGACGTACTGCTTTTGTTTGGAGAAGAAGACTGAGACAATATAAAAAAAAAAAATTTTTTTTCGAAACATCATCTTTTATACAAAGAGTAATCAATGACTCTATTCTATTTAAAATTGCGGTTTTAACATTTCCAATTTGATTTTGTCTCGGACATATATTTTCTTCCAATGTTACCTGCAAATCTGTAAGGCGCTGCTTTCCTACGCTTTAAAAAAAAAACAAAAACATTATAATAAATGTTTTTATCGATCGAACTTGGCACTAACTTTCCAATGGGCTAAATTTTATCGTCCCGATCATGTCAATACAAGTGAGACGCTGCGTTTTGCTCATTGTCGCCGCCGACGTTTTTTGCTTTATCAAATATTGCATAAGCCTTTGTGGGTGTTGGAAGCACTAGGCTGTAACTGTCGTTAAACGTGAAGCAGAAGGATTCTGAATACTAAATGAAATTTAATTACTGTGAAACGGTTTTTAAAATTGGATAGAATTAGAGAAGTCTTAAACATAACATCGCTTACGATTTTCAACGAAATCGCATTAGCATCACGGAAACTTTCTTTTAAAGTTTAAAAGTGGAACATTGGATCCTTCTAAGAGTTAGGTTAATAGATAGGAGAAAGCTTCTAAAACATTTAGGCCGAAGAATGTCAAGTCGACACAGTTTTTCTGCTTTACTGTAAGAATTGGAAAATTTTGACAAACAAGATTATTGAAAACGACAACCTTAAACCACGTTGATTGATAGGTTTCTAAATTAAGATTCAATGACAGAAATATTTGCAATTAATATCTGCAATATTTAGCTTAAACTGTCCCGTCATCTTCTGCAATCCCCCTTCTAAATTTTAAATAATTGCAAAAACTAAACTAAAAGGGTAAGGGTGTAGTGTAATCGCATGCACCCACTTTGAAGTATGACAGAATTATGCAAATTTAGCATAATTATTTTGCTAAAAAGAAAAATGAAAATTATGTCGCACTTAGCCCAAACCAAAACAATTATTATTTGTTTACGTTAGCATAATTTAGTATAGTAATTTGTGTATAAATAGACCGGTAAAAATTGAATAAATTCAATGGTCTAAAAGTAATTCGCCAAGCTTATTAATCCGCTAAAAGCTCAAAGGCGTTCCATCTGCCACGATTTTGTTTCGTCTTTACCCGATGGATACGACACGAATGTCGGCGGACGTGGTACGCAATTAAGCGGCGGTCAACGACAACGTATTGCAATAGCAATACGCTTTGTTCAAAAATCCAATAATACTTGATGAAGCCGCCAGTGCTCTAGACGCCACAAGTGAAGCTGAGGTTCAAAAAGCTCATGATAATGCCGTTTTATATAGGACTACATTAGAAGAACCAGTTTTCTAATTCTATATTTTCGGCTATAATTTGTTCTCTGTGCATTTGAAAGGAACCGTTAAAATCTCTTTTCGTTATCAAAAGAAAATTAAAAAAAAAATCTCTATTTTTACTTTCAACAATGTAACGGGAAACTAAATGAAATCATCATGTATCGATCTCGATGGGCATTTCATAAAGCAGCAGATTGACTTGGCGATCTGAAGCCGAGCAGTTTAGGAAACATTCTACAACTCCAAATTGGTCACACTTGGGAAGGATTTATAGAGAGCCATCCCATAAATAAATTATTATACACATTCAAATAACGTTTTTCAAATTTATTACATTATTTTATTACATATATATATATTATTATATATATACATACGTGTGTTATATGATACTGCCGTAGGTATATGAAAGTATATATATGTTGTATGATTCTAGGAGGCTTTTAGAAATGTGGGTTCCAGTATGGGAAAGTACTTTGTTAGGCGTATTTTTTTGTTTTTTTTTTGCAAATTAAATTATAGTCTTTACAGCTACTGCATAAAAAAAATATTATATTTGAACTTATATTGCTTTTCATTCGATCATTATGCGAAAAATTTTTCTTCTTTGGTTAAAATATAAACTTAAAAATTTTAAAAATGATTCGAAGAATTATTTTAACTATTTCGAATAATTTTAGACAACTTTAGAAAATACAACTAATTTTTAAGGCATGATTGTTTTATGGAAGTAGAAAATAGTTTTGCCTGAGAATCACTCTGTTAAAAGCTAAACATAAATATATATATATATATATATATATATATATATACAGATGTCCTAAGGATGTCACTATGGGTATCGAAGGTTTATTCTAAAAATTGCGGAAAAGTATAATAAAATCTTATAATAAAAGCAAATATTGGTTGATGATTTTTTGTCATTGTAAGCTGCTTTAAAACTCCCCGTGAAATTGATGAGAACAAATATGAATAGGGAATCGGCGATCATACTTGTACGACACTGCCAGTCCGAACTAATGATTTGCCGCCTTGAGAATGCATTACAGTTGTTATGCTCAGTTTAATGCATCTCATTAAACCGATCAGCTGCGTTCATATCTATGAAGAGCAAGGAAACATTAACAGCTTTATAAATTCTTCAAATAACTTTTAATCCGATTGAGTATAACTTCGAAAATACTAAGGCCACAACTTACATCTTTTAACCTTAAATGCTTTGTTTTATCATGTAATTCTTTCCATGCCGTACCATCTAATTGAATAAGACTTTGTGTTAATGGATCGGTGCTTACATTATTGTATAAACCGTGATCTTGTAAATGATCAGATGATTACTAACAAAATTTGACGAATAGCATTAAGATGCGACATTAATACTATCGGTTTTAGCCAAGCGTAAAAATCGATAAATGGTGCTTATGGCACTGTAGAGCGTGTAGAAAGATCGCAAAACATCAGCTATATGGAGCTTACTTCCAACACTTGGGTTTAGCATGCACGATATTTTCAATAACTGAAAGCTGCTTTCCCTGTTAAATAGAGAACTGTTGCCGAACCCAAAAGAGTGAGCATTAAAAATTCTGGCAAATTCATTATTCGTCTCTTTTTGCAGTGCAGAATTGTTATCTATTTATATATCGTTAAGGAAAGGAGTCTTTTTTCCCAAATAATGTTGAGGATTTCTTTATATCAATTATCTGGAGTTTACTAAATTTGCTATATTGTTGGTACAAACTCAAAGGCAATTTTCGAATTGGGACTCCAACTTTGCCAATAGCAACACTGCAAAATAGATAAGTTATGCCCATAGGCCAAGTGAAAGAATGGAAGAAAAAAAGAGTTTTCAAAAATCCTGAAATGTATGTAGATTTTTTAGCTTCTGCGCCCGATTTTCACGTTGGTTTTATGTATGTTTTTTGCCTTATTTATTCCTCAGTAGTAGCACCTACTAAGTCTTCGTCAGGCTGTAAAGGAGAAGCATCGTATAAGTGTTCTTACTTTTCACCTCCCTTTTTTTGAAAGCAAACCTTCTGCTGTTGTCTCCTGCGCTTGTTAAACGCTTCAACGATTATATAGCAGGCGTATTTAATTTACTCGTTTTGGTGCGGTTTTCATTACAATTCGTAAAAGGGCTCTTCTCCTTCCGCTGTTGTCAACGGGCCAGCATCAGGCTCCTGTTTGATGGATACGGCTTCCGGGCTTGCTTCGCGGCGCCGTTGTTTCTGCGCAGTCGCGGCACCCGCAGAAGTGGACGGCCCGTCATTATCCTCCTGGTTTCTAACGGCTTGCATTTCTTCCCCCATTTTTTCGGCGAAGTCTTTTCGCGCCTTTAAGGTGTCCTCTTTTTCGAACCCCCGGAATTTCTCCGTCTCAATTAGTGTCGATAACACCTCGGCGGCCCGCACATATCCAAGTTCTTGAGCATACCATCGGTATGCGCAAGATTTCGTACGGTTAGACGTTCCTTGCCGATCCAGCCGTTGCAGACGGTACCTGGTTTTTCGTAAAGTGTTTTTGACTTTTTCCGCGGTGACTTGACGCTGCAGCTCTTTGCTTACTTTTTCGGCCAGTTCCTTGTACTGACCGACAATTGGCCCCCCGTGGGGACGCCACAAAATCGGATAATCGCGAAGAAGTCGGCTGAGGGCTTCGTGGAGCTCCTCATCGCAACGGGTGGACATACTCGTAAAAATCTTCTTTATAATATTGTATATAAAATTCAAGTTTCTAGTGGAATTATATAAAATAAATAAATAAATAATAAAAACAACAAAACAAACTAATAGACTAAAATTAATTTACAGAAGACTTCGAAAATGACAAAGGACAAGCCTCAACATCCACGCACCTATGCAACAAAAACTGTGATAACTTTCACTTTCGGCGTTTTTTGCTTGTTGCTCATAATAATCTATCTCTTTTCTTTTTTTTTAGGATAAAGATGATAGATAGAAAAGATTCGATCGCTGGAAACGTAACTTTCTTTTACAAAAAGAAAGAAAACAAAGCTCACCAAAAAATCGTAATTTCGTGATCTTCAAATTCAGGTAGCGTGTGCACAACTTCTTGGAGATATTTTTTTCTACGAATTTGACCGATGTTAAAAAATTTTTGATATCTTTCAACTTTTTCCGACTTTATTCGGAAGACCTTTAGACGAAAAATATGATCAAAAATTTCTTGTTGTTTTCGTATTTTTTAAGAAAATGTGATATTTTAGCAATCTTCAGTTTAATATGAATTTAAATATATTTACTCCTGAGGCGAGTGTACATGTATGCATGAACAGAGTAATTGAAAATATTTATGGAAATGTGATACGTTAATCGAAAAAGGAGAGAGAACATCACTCATAGACACGTTCTTGTAAAGCCATTACTTCGTCTTTCTCGCATTTGTACAAAAGCTGTTGTCATTGCGTAATTGCTTTGCGCGAAATGCAGTGGAGTAAAGGTAATTATAATAATATATTAATATATTTCTATATTATTTATTTCCTTTCTTCTATTTTAGAAAAAAGAAAAAAAACCATTAAATGTAATTCCATATAGTGACACAAATAATAACGCAAGACAAGAAGAAAAATTGTTTTATTCGTGTAGGCTCTCTTCTAAAATGCCTCGATTGTTTTCTTTTTGTTCGCTCACAAATTTAATCGCAACTCACTTCACGCCTCTTTTTATCTTTTTTCTTTGGCGTCGCAATACGAAAAAAAAACGCTTTAAAAGAATCGAACGTTTCCTGAGGAGCAGGATCGTCCAGCGGTATAATCGCGTACCCGTGAAATTCTTCATCGAGGCATCATCAGTGTCACATCCTACGTATTACTAAGTTTTCTTTATCAAAATAAATGCACTTACCTTTAATATGTATTCCTTTAAAATTTGAGAAAATTTCAGGAACTTGGATTTTTTGTCTTCTCTTATGACTAGTGATCGATCAAAATGTCACAATAGTGTTGGATGTATAATGATTTAAAAAAATTTGTTCCTTGTTCTGTTAGAAATACTTTAACAATATTACATTCGCATACTTTTGCATATACAAATCGCTTAGTAAATTTATCAAAATAATAGACAATGTTAACAAAAGCTGAAGAAGGAATAACGAAAACTTGGATTTCTAATCTTCAAATAGGTTGACAAGCAATCAGCTGTAAAGCATATATATGTATAAATATATTTGGTTGAAAAGGAGAAAATAATAGTTTGAAATAAAGCGTGCCAGTTAAATTCAGCTGTAAAATGTATAGAGAGAATGCGTACCAGTTGTAGAATGTATAGAAATAAAGCGTGCCAGTTGAATTAGAAAGGAAAACAGCTGTAAAATGTATAGAGAGAATGCGGTCAAGTTGTAAAATGTATAGAAATAAAGCGTACCAGTTGAATTAGAAAGGAAATAAATGTATAAATAAAATGTGTAGAAATAATGCGTACCAGTTGTAGAATGTATAGAAATGAAGCGTGCCAGTTGAATTCGAAAGGAAAACAGCTGTAGAATGTGTAGAAATAATAGCTTTCAATTATCAAGTGGAATTAGCTCGATTTAATAGAAATAAGTGTCAATCCAATAACGTGGATCTCAATTAAAAAAATTATAAAATTATTGCTTAAACTAAAATTTAGCTGGATAATGTTGGCTTGAACTTTCTGATGTAATTTTGCGTAAATACAATGTCGATAATTTTTTTAGAATTTTAGAGAATAGGATTTCTCAATAAAAGAGGGTGAAAGAATAGGTGTTGTATTAGACTGCGATGATAATACATTGTCTTTTGAAAAAAATTATGAGTTTTTGGATGTAGCGTTTTGAAGTAAATTGTACTGCTCTTTCCTTTATTCATAGCATTTCATAAAATATATTTAATTATGTTTGGGTTTACCGGATAAAAAATTGTACCCTAATGTCTCCGCAGTTTATGGCAATACGGAGGTCTCTATGGTTTATTTAGGGCCGCCTAATGATGGTTAAATATTATTCCATTAAATTAAGTATATCATTTTTTAAAAATTATTCCTTTACAAAAAAAAATTTAAGCTAAACACAAAACTAAAAACTGATAACACTAACGTTAAGCAGAAAAACAATTCTGCACTTAATAGTCTATTATCCCCTTATTTAAATATTGGAATTAACTTCATACGAAATTTCTTCATATAAAGAAAATTACAAATAAGAGATCACATCTAAAACACATTTAAAGTCGGCCGTGAAATTTTTAGCGTCATTTTTTCCCATAAAATTTAGAAACGCAATTTATGATGTAAGCTTGATGCTTTTTTCTGCTTGAAAATGCTCCAATTACGAGAAAATTTGTGAAAATACAGAGGTGTTCTGTATATCCTTGTGGGTGGTGGGAGCAGTTCGATTCGCAATATGAAAGTAACCTTTTATGAAATATTTAGGTGTTTAATGCACCACAATTTTTTATTGGTTTTTCTTTATAAAATATTAATCATATAATAAATCTAATCTAGTAAAAGTGCTGTTTAGCATTGATTGTAGATATTCATTATAAGAAAGTATTTTATATAAAATAAAAATGCATTAAATTCATGTAAAAAATTAATTATAATTACAAAAATAAAATGAAATTTATGTCAAAAGTTAATTATGATTGTAAAAAGAATGAATAAGAATCGTAATTATATAGAAGATGAATTGCTTTAAAATATATGGTATTCATAAAAACAAGTACGAACAATTAATAAATAGTCGATAGCTGAATGTATGTGTATACAAAAACATTTATTTACATAACGATTAAATGAATTTTAAAGAACTTCGATATGGAATTAATCAAATTGAACGGGTTACCGTATAAAGTTTTTAATTAAAACGGGAAAATATATAGGTATATATAAACTATGTGAGTTATGTTCCTCTTCTTGCTTTATATATTTAAAATGATGTCTCACCAGGGCATTCGCTAATTAAATATTTTTTGGTTTTAACGTAAGCTTCACCATGTTCAAAGTTTTCTTTGTTTGAAGGTCCCGAAGTCAATTTAGAAAAATTACTTCCTATTTGCGTTATATGAGTATGTTTTAGATCTTTTTTATCACTCCTACTTATTGACACGGCCGCTTTATCAAATTCTGTCGAAGCTGCGCGTTTCCGTGCGTTGTTAAGTATAACAAATGGATTGTTACTCAAACGATTTGTTATGACAAACGAAGAGCTGCTGCCACTACTGTCTGTAGTACTGTTTTTATTCAATAGCTGCACAGTCTCTTCATCGTTCATGTATTCTTCAGGTCTATTGCCATTCAGGCAATGAAGTAAGCTAGAACTTAATTGATCCTCCTCCAGATCATCCAATTCTCTTGTACTATCAAAATCATCTGAATGACTAGAAAAAGAAGAGTCCTCGGGAGCATCAGTGAACACTCTGCGTTTCATTAAATATTCTCTATATAAGAATTGAAATCATAACGCGAAATACATTCCTTTAAAATATATTTGGGAACCTACTTGAAGTCATTACTTAAGGTATCCGCATTTTTTTCAAGAGTTTTTCTTCTGGGGGATAAGTTTAAATGTTTAAAACTGTCATTGTTTTGTAACATTTGGTGCCGTTTAAGTATATTAGAGAATCCACCTGAAGGAGTGAAACAATCCTCTGCTTTATATTTAACTAAGTGTCGCCTTTTAAGATCTTGGGAATTTTGATCTTCGCCTTGCTTGTTTTCTGCACAATTGGCAGTAGTTGCCAAAACCATAACCGGTTTACGTGAACGCGGCGTCATTATAGATTCCTAAGGTAAGAAAAAAACAGATGTCGGACTGATTTTTATATTTCAAGTACTCTTACCTGCATAGCTTTAGGCATTCGTTGTGTGGATTTCGTAATAGGAGACATAGAACGTCGTCCTATTAATAGCGACGGTGTACTTGTCACTAAATCTACATTGCGGCAAACATTACTTTGTTGCAAGGAAATTTGTTGCTGAATTACTTTGGTCTCAATTATGGGCTGGCAATCGCCAGCTTTTCGCGCGTTTTCATCAATAAAATTTTCGAATGCTTCCACACTTTCATCATCACCATCCATATCTGTAAGTAAGGGTACGTTACCCGCCTCAATCGCTCCTAAAAAGCTGCCTTCAGCTCGTTGGTAGATCTGCGAATCTTCATTACGCCCTTTCAAAGTAGACGATACAGTACGTACTAAACGCTTGGTGGACTCAGGCGTACTAAAGGGGAATTTCAAATTACCCATACTAACCCCTTTCATAAGTTTACGTGTTATATATTTCGCTGGCAGTAGCTTACTAATTGGTGTAATCATTTCTTTATTATTATCATTAGCGGCTGAGGTTGGTACAGCTGAAGGAAGAGGTGAATCGCATATACTGAGATTGGGTTCAGATTTAAAGCGAGATTTTGTATTACTAATAGCAATGGTAGTAAATTGTTGCGAAGGTGTCGAAGGATTAGAAACGTGCTCCGCGTCGGGCACGGCATCCTGCCAACCCACAGACTTCTTATCAACTCCAAGAAAGTTAGCCCCACTAATAACGTTTTTAGCAGCTTCCGTAAGTAATTTTAAAGGTGTAACGCAACATTTTGCGTCTAATGAAGTCAGAGAAGTCGCGGTTGTTAAGGCGCACACATTTGACAGATCATTAGAAGTCTGACGACTAACTGGCGCTGATATGGAGTTAGAATTATTTATAATCTCAGCGGTACAATTTAAAGCACACAAAGGAGAACTAGAAGATTCTGATGATGATGATGTGGAACAAGAAGACTCTTGATTTTCATGATTAACATGAGTAGGTAATATTGCAGTTGATGTTATGCATTTTCGGAATATATTTGAATTTTGAACATCAAAGTTTTTTCCTGGAGCAACTACGGAAGGGGATGAATTGGAAATGACAGTGGAACTTTGGAATAAAACTCTTTGCTTATGCTTGAGCAAAACGGGAACATGAGGTGTCTACAAAGAGTAAATAAAAACGTTAAAGTTTAAAGTTTGTTTTTTTTATAGATAACAGATTTTTACTTCTATGCTTAGCGTAGATAACATTTGTCTTTTTGGAGTCTTGGACATAATGCTTTTATGAAAAATATGCTTTTTTATCGAATCACTTAAAGATTTTGAGCTACGTGCTGAATCGGGATTTTTTAAACGATTCATCGCTTGGAATTGCAGAGGAGTACCTGGAGAGAAATTCATTATTAGCAATTTTTTTCGATCACCTGTTTACTCAAGGATGGACTGACCAACTACCCATATAAACGAAATTACAAATTAGCTATAATTTTGTTATGACATGTCTAAAAATCTTTTGTCCGTTCCGGTTGCGTTTTTTTTTTTCCTAAAACTTTTCATACAATACATAAATATGTCAAGTTCGTTTGTACACATTGCGTTGAAGCCGTGACGGATATTACCGAAAATTTTGAAGTGTGTACAATTCTTTTAATTTGTCTCTACATATATATATATATATATATATGGCTCTAAAAGTGCCTCAAGAATTTCACAAATATAGACGAGAAAGTATAAATAATGATGGCACAGCCACTCACCATCATTGGTGAACGAATGTAAAAATTAGTTTCAGCGAAGATAGAAAGTAGAAGATAGTGGCGGATGTTGGATACAGTCCCCCCTTTATTAAAGCTGTTATTACCTTTTCCATTCTGCTTATTAAACTGTTTGATAAGTCGACGTTTTTTTGACGATTCTGGCAATGATTGTATATGAGCGTAAAGTTGTGCTAATTCCGTATCGGTAGTATTTGTGTTATGTGCCGCCGCTGTTCTTTCTCGATCTACAAACGTATAAACCGTATTAACCGTAGAGATATCCGATATCGACTCATCTAATGTCTTTTCTGGAGATGCGCTCTTTTTGCGTTTACGTTCTGCGAAATAGGCACGGATATCAACGGCCAATTTAGGAGGCACTGCAAATATTTCCCTTCCCTTGATAACCATGTATGATATAATGCTTGACATTTTCCGAGCCAGGTAATGTAAAGCTTCAGGCGGCAAATTGCGAGGGCATATTAAATGCGGGGTAAATAATGTAGCTAAATTGTCAGGAGTCATTCTATTGCTTTGTTGTTTTAGAGCTACGGCGTGCAATATGTCAATAACATGTTCCAGAAGATTACGATTTTCTTCAGGTAACAACAATAATAAAAGTTGTAAAGAATTGAGAACATGCAATTCCTTCTTCTGCTTCTCAGGTTTATTACTGTTAGCGGATGTTGTAAGAGAATCTTTGGCTTCCATATTTTTTTCCAAATTAGCATTAACACAAAGACAAAGGGGTGCTATTTGCAAATGGGCTGGATAAAGCGCGTCGGTCAGCAAGGGTTCTGGCAGTTCTGACAAATAGGCTTTAAACACGGTAGCGCAATCATGCGCCGAATAGTCTCCAGTATCTAAATGTAAAGGCTCATCGTTTTGTATATGTGAGCGTAGTTCGTTCTGCCTTGATATAGAACCGTTTTTCCGAAAGATTCCCTCTTGTAAAAGATCTATTATTAGAAGAGCAAAATTTAAAATAGGTATATGAATTCTTAAAGCTAAACAGACTCTTTTCTGTCATTAAAAAATGTTTGAGCTCTTCCAAATGGTATAGAAAACCCGCATCGATCTGTTGATTGGCGCATTCGCCCGGGCTAAAACCAATGTTACTGCCCGAAATTGTTTTTGGATTGCTCGTACAACCCGTAGACCCATTCGTTAAAGCTAGTTTGTATTTTTTGCTCATGCGATTCCACTTCTTTAATTTACCCCTATCTTCGTAAACTATTTCATGGCATGGTAGATCGAATCTTTAAAAAACGATCAGATGAAGGCCATTCTTTATTTTTCCAAAATATCTACTTACTCATCCGTATTTAGATCCAGTTCAAAGGATAAATGCATCCGTACTAATGTTTTAAATTTTTCATAATTACATTTTCGCATGCGTGTTGCAACTTCAGCATCTCGTAGTTCCGATAAATTTGCTGTTTCTACATCCATTATTATAATAAAAATTAAAATATCTTTTTGTCGACAAATGCTAGCGACCAATAAAATTTACTCATAAAATATTAATTACGAGGATGCACATTTCAACGAATGTTTCTTATTAATCTCGAAAGCAATACAATTTTGCTCAACTTCTCTTCTTTAGTTAAAAACCGCTCACTGCCATTCAAAACTAAACTTGCTTCGCTTTACGATAAGAGACTACGATGTAACAAAGTCGATGTGAAAGAAAACAGGATCACCAAGTGTCTGAAATTATTCATAAGGCTAGTACATTGACTTAAATTTTGTACTACTATAAGGAAAACTTTGTGGAAGTATTATTAAGTAGTGATCTTTTTTATCAAGTTTTGTATAAAATAGAAAATTTTTCTGCTGTGTTGCTCTTGCATTTGTATCGAAAATTGTTATGTCTAAGAACAATTTTGAAGCACAATCTAAACAAAACTTTTTTATATACTTGCTTCTTTTTCGTCAGAATATGATTTAAGAAAATACATAAACTTTAGCTCTCTATTCTCTAATATAAGCATATATCACACTGCTTTAAAATTAGCTGATGCGGCAACACCACACATGAAATTACAAACCGTAATTGTAACACAGTGTGATTAAAATAAATGTTTTTGAGCTGCGGTGACTCTGTTTTTCTTACGCGTTTTAAAGATGGCTGTCGTGAGGAGAAAATTCTTTGCAAAATATTAAATGAAAGTGTTTAATAAATTATTCAACCTGTGAAAGCAAATGTGAAAAACAAAAGCGCAATACACTATTACATTTTACAATGTGTAATTTGACGTATGAACAAACAAAAGTGTATAATAAAATATAAACAATTTCATAGTTGAACTTGTCGCGTGGGTGTGGTCCAAGAAAGTTTTTATTAAAAAAATTATTTTTGAAAGGATAATTAAATATTATTTAATTACATTGCAAACTGGTAAACTTAGCGTATCATGCTTGTGTTTTTCGCGATATAATAAGCTGATTATCGCAACGTCAGCAATTCTTGTTAGGTACACTTTTGGTATCGTGTTCACAAAACTTTTAAAAAATATTTAATATTTAAGTGGTTAAACTATCTAACTTAAAAGTTGGATCAATTACGATCTGTGAAATCGGGACTTATGTGAAAACATTCATATTGAGTCAACATTTTTTGTATCATATTCGTGTCTATACTGTTGTGCGGTCTCGGGCGAGACAGTTAAAAAAAAAAAGACTCGCTAGGGTATGGTGTAAATTTTATCGATTGTTTATCGGGATTATGCGATTGTAATATTGTTTACATAGCTATAAGGATTTTGTATATAACGGCGTTTTTAATATACACTCTTTAATCGTGAAAAAATCCGTACGGTCAACTTCAATCATCGGTTATTCGGTTATAATATTTTTTAATATTATGTTAACGATCTCACAAGATTGCTTAATTTGTGACGTTCAACATAATTAGTGAGCTTAATTCCGAATACAATCAAAAATTTAGAGAAAGATAGTTATGTAAACACGCGCGTGCAATGGTTGAAAGTACACTTATAGCAATTTGTTTTTAATCGAATTTGAATATAATTATTATAAAATCTGTGTTTTTGTAGCTAAACGTGTAATATAGAAAAATAAAGGTGAAAATATTCCTTACTTATTATTTAAATTAACTTCATCTTGCAAATAAACAAGAAAACAAAAAGAAAAATGTCATCACGACGTCGCGGTGGGGGTGTGGATATGAATCCAAAACTGCATATGGATCGTCAACCAACAGTAACCCGAATCAATGGTGAGTATTTATTGAACTCATTGCAATTGAGATTGATTAATTTATGGAATTGAGAATTCTTGCATTCAGATCCTTCACTGCCCGCTGGTAAAAGACGAGAAATTGATAATGTTATGAAAAAAGCTAGAGCCAACACAAATGACTATTGGGATAAAAAGTTATTAGAGGTAGAAGAAAAAGATCCAAACCGTTGGCGTCATACGGGTTATAAGAAAATGTACATTGAGGGTGAAACTAGTTCGTGTGAAAGTGATCGTGAACCTTCGGGTAGTGGTTATCGCGTTTATAACACAGGCGGTGGCGGTCCATCAAAAACATCGTCGGTTCGGTATGGTCGTTCGCGTTCTCCACGTTCGCGTAGCCATTCGCGTATGCGTAAATCGCCGCCGTTATCACCGCAAATGCGGCGACGGTCTCCAGGTCCATCGTCTCGCGATATGATGGACAACATGGGACGTGGTCGTGTAACACCTCTCCACGCGATGGAAAGAGGTCGACCTCGTTCGCCGGAACGTGGACCTCCGCGCTCTTCGGCAGACATGGGCGGTCGTCGTCCGATAGGTGCAGGTGGTAGACCGCGTTCACCACCTGAGCCACCAATGCGCCGTAAGTCGCGATCTCCTGTAGGTGGAAGACGCCGCGGTTCTCCACCATCGGTTAACATGAGTTCGAACGGGCGTCGTAGAACACCGCCACCGCCAGTGGTAAGTAATGTACATCCAAAACAAAGAACACAAATATTGCCGCGTTCCAAACGCCCCCCATCACCACCGCCGCGGGTAAGTAAGCTACCTGTAATAGGTTTTAAAGCAAGAATAAAAGTATTGTTGGCTTCTTTTTAGAATATGTGTCGTTCGCGTTCGAACAGTTCGGTAACAAGCTGTTCAGATGATTCTTGCTCTGAATGCTCGCCAAGGCATCGTTACCGATCTCAGTAAGCATAATGAACCTTAAATTGTGGTGCAAATAAAAATTTAAAAACCTTTTGATTTCTTGTAGTTCCGTCTCAATGCCGCGATCGCATGGTGGGCCGCGTTCGCCACCTTCTAAAACTTCACGTCCAATGCAATGCCAGCGAGGTCCACTTCCGCCTCCATCAGCATCTATGCATAATCGACCTTCGTCACCACCGCTTTCTCGTAATGGTCCGATCGATAAATACCATCGCAACGATGGTAAGGTACGCCGCGTTAGTCGCGAACGCAGTTTAGACGGATGCCATCCCTCTGATAGTCATGTAAAAGTTACGCGCCCTAATCGTCACTCGCCGCCTGAGGACCCGCGCTTAAAAAATCGTCCTCCTGAGCCACCGGAACCGGCTGCAGCATCAACTTCAAATAATGTGCCTAAAAAAAAGAAAAAAGAGAAAGAGGTAACCAACTCTGGATAAAGTAGAAATTGTTTGTAATTATTATTTTTCGTAATAACAATTAGTTACGCACCCGTATCAAGATTGAGGGCGAGAAAAGAAAAAAGCACTCTTCCTCCGACTCGGACGATTCTGGCGGCTCCGACAGTGACGATCCTCCTTTGCCAACATTTACCGCCACCACGCGACTAACTTTATCCGAACGTTTTGGCAAAATGGCTCAATGGAGTATTGATCGCAGCAATATGGAAAATATGCGTATAACAAAAGACTCTGCTGGTGGCGCTTTGAAAGTAATGATAGAAGAGGGACTCGAAACACCGCCGCGTCGTTATTCGTATTCACCGGCACCGGTTGGCCACTTTCCCGAAGAGTTGGCAACAACAGCACCGTCGGGCATGTTGTCTTGGGATGATGTGCGTGTACGTTATGAATATTATAAATCCCGTGGCTATCTAAGAGACTTAGATTTAAAAGTAAGCGCCAATAATATCTTAAATAATATACTGACTTATATTGTCTTCGTAACAGGATTACATTAAATGGGAAGAATGGTGGTACAAATACCAAGAATGGCTTAAACAAGAACGTTTCTATGAGTATTGGGAACGTCAACAAATGGCCAGGAGACGACGTATTAAAAAGTTACCAATTTCTCAAAGGCTTAATTAAAAAAAAATAGCTTATAGTGTTGTACTCGATTTTTTTCTTTATTTTAGAGGGTTTATTACCATCTCATTTTTTGCATCACTTTTTGAGTTGTGCAAAGCAAAAAAAAAAAAAAAAAAAAAATTTTTTTTACTGTACATTTAAGAATCATTGAAATTTTAAATTCTTCCATTTTAAGATTTTTTTCTTTGATTTCTTGCAGTCTCAAACAGAATGAAAAATTTTCAAGTTGTGTATATATTTCTAAAATAGGACGGTGGATCCAAAAAGAGAGGAAATTAAAAATAACATAGGATTAGTAAGAATTTTTCGCTTTCCCATGATTTAATTATTTTTGGTTGCATATTCTGCAGGTGAATATAATCACTTCTTTTATTTTATAAAGCAATGAATTTTTGGTTTTCAATAAAATTAATTTAAAACGTGGTCTCCTGGGACGACACAATTGATTTTTACTCCCAGTAAAGCAACATTTTGTAAACTGGCAAAGAGTAGATAAACGATTAAAAAAAAAAAACAAAAAAAAAAAGCAATACACTTATTAAGAATATTAATGTAACGTAAAAAATGTAACAACATCTTATTCCAATTATGCATTAAGGTTAGTTTGCTAGTCGTAATATGTAAAATATGTAAAGACAACTTATTCCAATGCTAGTGTGAGGAAAAGTTTAGTCTTTATTGTATTGATATTCATTTCTACTATACTTTTTGCTTAGGGATGCTTTTTTTTTGTGGCATCGTTCGGTTAATATAATTGAAATGTGTTTGTATTCAAAGTCGTATAAAAAAGATATAAAACGACTGTTGGGGTAAGTGTGACAAGGTATTGATGCCGGTTTTCCAAATAATCAGTGCTTTTTTTATATTAAATTACGATCTATGAAGGCTTTAAAGAATTTCACAGAAATCGAAAACTTTTTTGTTATACAATTTGCTTTGGGTATTATAAAGTAAAATATTGAACATTGCTTGACATCTTCAATTCATACGAAACAAAAGGATCGAACGTAAGGCAGAACAGTTTATTATAGCAACAAGGTAGGTATCTATATAATATACTGTGTTTTTGGTTCTGATAAATTACAGGTTGATTGCTTTTCAATTGTTTTTGTACTTTGTAATGAAATTATATCAAGAAAAAGATGGGCAAACGAATTATGTGTGGAATTTTAATAACTGCCTCATGGATTTCTAACAGAGAAGTTACGTTGCATAATATTGCCACTTCTCAAAATCAAAGTAGGTTTTACTGTAATGTACAAGTATACAGGAAGTGGTTCCTGTTAACTTAAAATCAATCGACATTTGTGCCAAAATTCTTACTCAGTTACGACAGTTACTTTTGTACAATACCCAGCGGATGGTGGAAAATGAACGGGTTGCAATGCCACAAACGCAAAAAGCTCGTTAAGATGTTAACACCGGCAATAAACTCGTATCCACGCCAACATCTCGTGGGATTAGCTGTCGTACGTCTTTGTGAGCGGCTCTAGTCTCACAAGGCGGACCATTGATGCAGCTGGCACACAAAGTCGGAATGATCTAAATGGGATATGATACGGTGAGTTCCCGGGACGAATACTCCCGATGCCATGTTGCAAGCTTCAACGAGGAAACTTAATCAGCAACGAATCGGCATGCGCTGCCCACGCTTACGTCCCTTACTCTAGCTCGTATGTACCACAGTTATATTTTCGTGATTAACACATGTTTCGAAAATTATTATAGTGACAGAGAAGCGCTTTAATTATCCTGATAATAAGATATTCTTCAAATAATACGTTAATTTTCGTGACTCGTTTTAAGAAATCAGCTCCTTTGCAATGATTGATTTTGGATAAAATGAGTTGTAGTCGCGCAATGCTTTGAATATGATATCGGTATGTCTCTAATAAATAGGGAATTTTATTAAAAATGCAAGGATCGCTCAACTTGAACCTGGTGTATAGTTTCTGATATTTGTAATATGGAAGAAAAACATTTATTATTGTCTTCTTCTTTATCGGACACATTTTTCTGGTAAGGAATTTAGTAAAAATGTTTCGTTTTGATTTTATTCAATGTTTTGGTTGTAGGTCAAGAAGTTTAAATTTCCTTTAAAAATATATCGCTTACAATATTGATCCACCAAAGCTTGTATATCCCGTTCCAAATGGACGAGAATTCAAATTGATAACGTAAGTTTTGCAATTTCATTCGAATCTCTGCTCCATAATTTTGAATTTATTACTCTGTTTAATAATGTGCGTCATATAAACGTTCAAATAAAGTCAAACTAAGGGTTAACGACATGTAAAAAGGTACGGGAATATAAGGAAATTCCTCCTGTAATATAAAGTTCTTGCAATTTATTTAATTCAATTGCATTTCAAATGGACACGGAAATCAGTGACGGCATATTATTTGTTTGCTATAAGGCTGTTACGACCTGCTTGAATTGGTTGTGAACTTAGATTTTTGCTAAAATTTGCAGTTAATAACACCTACTGATGAGTTTATATTATACTATTATAGAATGCATTTCTCCAAAATGGCAAAAAGAAACCAACAACATTATATGCTATTATATATAACATTGTATATATAAATATTACGCATATAGTGAATTTTTGGAGAAAATCATTTTTCATAATATTATCTTAAGAAAAATGTTCGTGACGTTCTTCATCAAATTTCCAATATATATTTTATACACATCACCAAATGATGAGCGGATGGGGACGTGCAGAAACGAAATTCCAAAAAGCCCACAAAGTATGAGCATGTCCGTCTGCCAACTGTGATAGGTATAAAAGTAAAAGTCATTAGCTGAAACTATTAAATAGTAATAGACTTTATATAGCAATCCCTAAATCCGCTCTGCTATTGAACGAAACCATAAAGAAAATCAAGTCGGATGAAGACATTTGTATGCGTGGTTCGAAAACTTCTTAGAGACCTTTCTTTCGAATGAATCTCAATTCTACCTATGTGAGTTAATGGTCGTGGGTTTAAATCTCAAGTCCGGTAGTTTTTAATTTAACGCAATAGTCTTAGCTGCTAGTATCTTAAGGCTTTAGTCTTGGAAGTCATTCTTTGGTGAAGTTATAAAGTATAAGTAATAAAAATAATAATAAATTGATTTTTATAGATCAGTTGGTTACATGCAAGCAGCTAATATATACAGAAATAAGAGCTACACACGTACTTCAAAACCTTGTAACTATACTCAAACATTATATTACTACAAATATGGTTACGCGTACTTGATGAATATATAGAGTTGGCAGTTTTGATGACATTCGATCATGGAGAGTGTAGTAATATTGTTTTGTGGATTTGGTTCTGTTCCAATCCCAGCAGCAATTGCACACTTTTAAAAAGTCCATGGCAATCAATTATCCATTAAAACGTTGATAAAAATCGTTGCATTCCTAAAACGCTTCAACAAAGTGTAACTGACAATCCGTATTATTCTCAAAAAATTAATTCATGTTTAAGCTCCGTACGCTGGCTGATTGGATTTTAACAATTTCTATCAAAGAGAACCAATTTAATCTTTTGCAAATTTTGTTTGAAATGCTTCTAAACCGAAAATTTCACAAAGGTGAAGTGGAAGCCAACGACCTTTTCCGTGATCGATATACTCACATTTTTAGAAATTTGGTACCAAGGTGCAAAGAATCTAATATTTCATATAATTTTTCTATTTGCTCGGTGGTATCGAGTAGAGGGGGACTCTAACTGTGAAAGTTATGAGGTCTTAAAGTATTGTTACGAAAATCTTAAGTCCAGTTAATGTCAGCTAAGTAATTTTCCTTAATAATAAACTCCCTTAAGAAGGAAAAACCAAATGAGCATTCGCAAGCGCTTCTTGCAGCTGTAGGCCGATGAAAACGATTGGCGGAAAAGCAGGCTGGGATTAGAAATAAAACCATAAATTTAGGTATAGTAACATTCTTGTAAAAATGCATATAAATAGAATATTTGTGGAAGGGAGAGTTGGTCGGGCAAGAACATTTGAGCTGAGAGTACGGCCAAAATATATTGTGAATAATCCTACATGTAAGAAATGTAATTGTAAATAAATACTTCTACTGTTGTGAAAGACAAGATAGTAAAATAAAAGAACTTTGAAGTGTATTTCTCTTGATAAAAATATCCACGATCCAGTGATACGGACTGTATCTTAGTAAAAGCGAATTCCATAACAGTATAAAAACGATTAGTAGCGCACATAAATTTCGTATTAGTGCCCGCTTCCTTGAATCAATTTATGAACTTCAGTGAGTACTTTGTAAGTAGACTGAAATTGCTTCCGATTCAGTTTCCCCAGAGACATTTTCTCCATATTCAAATCAAATTCCATCATTAAAGCAATTGCTTACATCGGCATGAAACTCGACTTTGACGTGAGAGACACTACTACCAGTTCACAAAAATGAATAATTTTTCTGATTTCATAGCAATCGTGAAGTTTAGATGAAGAACTCACCTCATTTTTTTGATCACCGTGGTAGACGTTTGTCAGTTACCTACGTAGATTCTCACTTTTGTACGTGATTCGTTAAAATAAATACAACGAATAGTATCTCAATTTCAAACACAAATTTAATCTGAAAACTTCTTATTTCACGTTTCTGGTATATTTAAAGTATTACGACCTCATGCGAAATGTGATGAGCAATAATTTTTGCATTCGTCGTTAGACTGTGTACAAAGTCATTACAGAGTTAATTATAATAAAAGCAATGCAGTCCGAACTTGTAAAGTTCTAGTCAGGGTTTTCCATATGCGAAGTTTTTCTATCTAAATCTAAACAGTCTTCTGAACAAACTTCTTTAGCTGAAAGGAGTCAGTTAAACTTTACATGAATTGGAAAACGCAACACTCGCTTTACGTTATATTGTAGGCGTGTCCTTCAACCGATTTGGTGCATTTTTAACACCAGTCTGCGTGAGCGTATCAATGTTCGAGGAGTCCAATGTTTTCGTCAAATTTGAAAACCAAGTTTGCGATCGAGAAGATGTTGCTGTAAACTTCACACAGACGCACTCGCTTTTGGGTGTTGCAAATGACCGAACACCATGAATGTACTCTCTCGCCTGCGGTGGTTGGCATAAAGAAGTTTTATCATCCTTTG